TAGTTTTCACTTCGGTCAGTACATATGGAGACAATATTACATGCTAATCAGTGCACCTGGACATTTAGGATACACAGGTCACATGTATTCCAGGCCCTGTCCTTTGGTTTCTTATAAGAACACAAAATACATAATCATGTTCTATATTACACTATCAGATTAATCTCCCTTAGCAATGATTTTGACAATCAGAAGAATTTTGTTGGCCACCCAACGTGTTAACATATTCAGACGCCTTGGTATGGTTTAGAAAAAAAGAGGTCAGGCTTTCATTATAGGACAGACCTGGGTGGAGTCCTATATATATCACTCAGCCAGCTTGGTTTGCTCGTATATAAAATTCTAGCTAGTGATACCTAATTCAATCCTAATGTTGTAAGAAATAAATGAGGTATCTATCTCGATTGCATGTAACCTTGTATCTGGTATCTAATTTCTTCTTCTTGTCATATATTCTGGGCCTTCCAGAAAATAGTTCCTGCCTCATTTTCCCTTAATGTAAATATTTTATCCCCACCCAACTCCTACGTGGCCTTCTAAGCAACATTTCTTGAATATTTCATGTGTAGTCCTATTTCTTTTTTTTTTTTTCCCTAACCCTAACCCTAACCCTAACGTGTAGTCCTATTTCTGTTTCTTTGTTCAAATCCTGTCTCCTACCTGAAATGCCACCTCCTTTTTCCTCCAGTTTTATTGAGGTATAATTGACAAATAAAAATTGTATGTATGTTTTATTTTGTCCCTCTAAAGAATTTATAAGGACATGGATTGCTTTGAATTCCAAAGTACAGTGGCCTGCACATAATAGAAGTATTGCTCATATATTGTAATACTCTGTACCACATAGGTTATATATAATAATGTCCATGATAGTCAGTGTAGCCTGGTGTAGCACAAAAGACTGCTTAGAGGTGTTGGCAGTCCTTATGCTAGAACTTAAGAGAGGATAGGTTTTAGATAGATAGTTAAGTAAGGGAAGGCATTTTTCAAGTGAAAGGAATAAACTGAGCATAAAATAATGGGGTTATTCTTCCTTAATTTGTAACGCTTTGAGGAAATTTTGAATTGGTTTAGTCCCATGTAAAATTAACCTCAAAGAAAAGTGTTGGTGTGAGCTAACAAAAATAAATGCAAGCTACAGGGGAGGCTGAGGCAAGAAGGTGGTTTGAGCCTAGGAGTTGGAGGCTGCAGAGGGCTGTAGTCACACTGTTGTACTCCAGTCTGGGCGACAGAGCAAGACCTAATTTATTAAATAAATAATGAATGCATGCATGCATGTAATAACAAAAATATTGGTTATTTAGATGGCCCTAAATTTGGATTTTGGCTCAACCACTTTGAAGTTCTGTGAGTTCTGGCAATTTCTTCACAGCCTCAGTTTTCTCATCTATATAGCATTATAATATATGCAAAACACCTTACATATTCTGAATTTTAATCACAGCTATCACACAGAAGGTCAGCTGAGATGTACTTCTATACAGTGTCTATATTTCTCAAAATATACTTTTGACTGGCAGGTAGGATTTCAAATATTCTGATTAAATTGCTTACTTAACTGAAGAAATAGCATTAAAGCCATCTACAATAGCATTAAGACTTTTCAAAGTGCTTTCACATTTTCCTATTTGATCATCATTTGTCAGGTAGGTGTGACATGGAGTGTTATTCCAAGTAAAGGAACAGACTCAAATACATTACCTTATTGAAGATCTTGCACCTAGTTGGAGTTAAGAGCCCAGGTTAAACCCTAAACTGCTATCTTGTAATACAGGTCTCTTTCCAGTATAGCTGTTGGAAAATAAATGTTGTCACACTGATTGCCACCTGGGTTTTGCACACCATCAGAGGGTTGTCTAAGTTTTTGAAAGAGTCAAGTAATTTTCTTATAGTCTACACACAAAATTAGTTTTAATTAAAAGACAAAAAGCGGACATAATGCTATGTTGTAGTCAGAAGAACCTGTTACAAGATTTATTATTTCTAACCTATCAGCTTATAGATTAAACCTATAATGATGGTGGCAAATGAAATGAGCTTGCAGGGATATCCTATTTTGTTCAGTAAAGGAAGTATAAATATTGTTTTCAAATGTATGAAACCAGGAAGAAAGGATTTCAAAATTGAAAAATATGGTTTACTCTCGAGAAAGAATTTTCTGACTATAGTTTGTAAAATAGGTGGAGGATTGTAGAATTTCTCAATCCAGATGGTTCTGAAAATATATAAAATTCTCTGACTGTGATGTTTTTAGTCATACTTGGAAATAGCTCCTCTCTTCTAACCATATTACATAAGGTATTTATTTCCCTTATGAGAAACTAATGTCAGTAAACACGATTAGATACTTTCCTTGTGTACTGCAAAAATAGACAAATACCTATATGTAAACTAACTTCTTATTTATGAACAAATAAGATAGGATGTTTTATTCTTTATATCTTATCTGTATTATTTGTTGAGTAATCATATGATGTGTCTGCACCTTGATATACCCGTAGGTAATACTAAACATTCTGGATTTGAGTGATTTACGTGTTTTTTTTTCCCCTAGTAAAAGGTAGCACTTGGGTGCAGTGGTGATTTATGGTTTTAAAGGTGCTTTAGGCTTGGGGCTTGTTAAAACAAATTCTCAGTTGGATATCCAAAAACATACATGCATTTGATTATTAAGAAGCAGCTGGAATGGTACAACAGTGTCTTTCAAGTTACCAGTAACTGGCTGTAGACCTGCTCAACTACAGTACAAAAATGAGAACATCAAAAGGGCAACCAAATATTTATTTTCTTCAAAGATAGGAATTGTACTAATGCACTAAAACCCCATTTTTCAGAGCTTTACAGTAGAGGTTCTTAACCTGTGAGTCACACAACTTTTTGAGAATAAGATGAATGCTTTGCATCCAGATCTTTTTCAGAAACATATAGAAGTATGGAACTATATTTGCTATTTCAGAGGGCATATGAACCCTAGTTTGAAAACCTTCTGCTTTAAAGGATGCAATGTGTTCTGTTAAACATATTTAACACAATTACAGAAATGGAAAATATGGACCTCCATTAAACAAATTTTTTAGTTCCTAATCAGATAAACTGGGGGCCAAACTAAAAGGATTCCTCTTGTTTTAGAGTTCAAAAATAGTTTTATTTTTAGGTATTTGTGTTTTGGCCTTTTTTTCTACCTTTAAAATTGTTTAATTTCTAAGTAATTTTATTTTTGGATGTTACATATTATATATATATATATATTCTTAACTTTTATCTCTACAGATATTTTCTGGCAAGTTTCTATACGAAGTATGATTCAACTCACTTCATCCTAAACACAGCTTCTCTCCTGAGTGTGCTAATTCCCAAAATGCCACAACTACATGGTGTTCGGATCTTTGGAATTAATAAGTATTGACATTTTTTGAAACTGAACAAAAATTTTTATAGCTACTGAATTTCTTATAAGGAAGGAGTGGTTAGTAAACTGCACTGTTTCTGTGATAATGTGAAATGAGAGGTATTTACATTGGAGAGCCAATGGCTGGCTGGTCCTTCATGTGCTGTTTTGAAGTGCAGATTTCTGTTAAATGATGCTTCTCTTTAATACATGTATCTGAAGAGAGGCTTTATAAGCAGGCTGGGCAGGCCCAGCTTATAAGTTAAAGGGCAACACAGTGAAGATGTAGTAGATAAATTCAAGGAAATAAGTATTTGTAAGAAACTAGGACCAGCTTAACTTATAATGAATGGGAATTGTGTTAAGAAAGGAACATTTCCAATCATTCAGATATGGTTGAAGCAGATTTACATGTAAACCAGAATCATCTCTATACAGGTTTATTAAAGATTGTTTTTATTACCATACATATTTCTCTTGTTTTATGTAAGAGGATATATATCCTCTTGTTTTATACAAGCCAGTTCCTACTTATGAGGGTACTTTTTTGGTTTTGCTGGCTCAATATTCTGTATTGATCAATGAGGTCATTTTTACATTTATTACATTACAGAATTCATGGAGGTTGACCTTCATGACTGATAGGTGATAGGAGATAGCCAAGCATTTTACAAGCAGCCTCAGAGTCAGTGTTCTAATTTTGGAACAAAGTGGGTTTTACTGCTTTTCCAGACACAAGGCTGCTAAACCAATTGAGAAAATACTTTATTTCAAGCAACTAAAAAGTATATGGTAATTTAAGGGTTTCTGCTTATTTGCTAGAACAATTTAGTTGGCAAAGTCTGTCATCATTTGGAAAAGGAAATATAAAAGGAACAACCGTATAGCCAACCTCTGGTCTGGCAGAAACTGCTTCTCTAGCAATAGTACCAAAGTAAGTAACAGACTTTTTGGCAGGTCTGCAATAAAAGATAACATTTTCTTTTCTTAGTCCTCCTGCTCTCAGCCCCCATATTTTGTCCATTAATATTTTGCCTTTGAATACATGGGTCTTCCTATAGATAGCTCAAAATGATAACTGTCTTCAGAACAGCAACCACACTGAATTCTTGTGACTTAGGAAAGCTTCCTATAGTTGCTGACATTAACTATAAGAAATAACTATATACTACTTTAAGAAATAAACATTCAAAAAAAACCCCACAAAATTCAGATATGGGATGAAATTTAAAAATTTAGTAACATTTATAAACAAAGTTGAATGAAAAAAGTTATAGATCAAGTTAAACATCAATCTGTGTCAGTAAGCTGACTTCTGGGGGTAATGATCATTGTTTTGTATTTCAAAAGTTTTGAGTTTAGAAATCAGTTGTGTGATACTACCTTTGTAATTGTCTTTTCCCATGTATTTTTAAATAACTGGTATCCATAATAAAATTTTTCCTTGGTGTAAGATTATTTGAAAAGCTCTCCAAATTTAGTCATCAGAATTAAAGCGACATTTTTCAAGTTCTTGAGCAACTGAATTTATAAAATTAAAGTAACAAAAGCATTCATTTTTCTTTAAAGTTTATCTCAAAAGGCTTACATTTTTCTAACATCAGATAGAAATCTCTTACACATGCTTTCTTTTCTGCTTTCTCCTGTCAGTGTTTTAAAAATATTTACTCAGTAGATATTTGAAGGACCCACTCTGTTATAGGAATTATTTTAGGTATTGAGGATAGTTTGTAAACAAGAGAAACCAACTCCCTTCCCTTCGATGCCTACATTCCATTAAAACAAAATCTGTAATGACTATTACTTCGAACAAAATAAATTGCCATGTCATAAATGTACCTAACTTCAAGTCAGGAGACTAATGGCAATTTCTAAGGAGTCCTGAGCTCAGAAATGCCACTAATTTTAGCAAACATTGGTGGATCTTTCCTGCAGCAGTTATTACTGTGGAGTTCTAGTGATGATTTTCTGTTTTCCTTATTCCATCTATAATTATTTATTGGTATCTTTTATAAGGAAGATTTGTTCTTCTCCCTCATTTATTTATTAAATCACTTAAACTCTGGGTTCATGGATATTTCATTCTTTGGGTTATAATCCATTATCATGATTTGTTGCTCAAATTGTCCTCCAGCTTTGACCATTAGGAGCTCTTACAAGTTGACTACTGTGTCCCTTTGACCTGCCTCCATCCTTTTTCTAGGTTTACAGTATTATAGTCTATTGAATTATAAAGATCCTAAGGGGCATAATAATATCTCCTTGACTAACACCTGTATGAATTATCTTATAGAACTAGCTGATGCTAAGTTAGAGAAGCCCTTAGAGACTATATAATTCAACCACCTACCTCCTACCTTTCCTTTTTTTTTTGGAGATAGAGTCTCACTCTGTCACCCAGGCTGGAGTACAGTGGCGTGATCTTGGCTTCTTGCAACCTCTGCTTCCCAAGTTCAAGCAATTCTCCTGGCTCAGCCTCCTGAGTAGTTGAGATTACATGCACGTGCCACCACACCCAGCTGATTTTGTATTTTTAGTAGAGACAGGATTTCACCATGTTGGTCAGGCTGGTCTCAAACTCTTGACCTCAAGTGATCTGCCTGGCTTGGCCTCCCAAAGTGCTGGGATTACAGGCATGAGCCACTGCACCTGGCCCCCTACTTTAGCTTAAATCTTCATTAATTATCACCCTTCCATTTAGTTCTGTTTTATAATAATAGAGGAGGACTTATAAGATACCATATTCTATTTTTGTAATGGAATTTACAATTTGTTATATATTGAGTCAAAAGTTATCTTTACATAACTCTTTAACTATTTAAAGATAACTTTTAAATTGGTGTCAACAGCATTGAATAAATATAACTGGAGCCTTTACCATTTTTCATATGATACGGTTTCAGATTTCTCCCACTATCCTGGTAATTCTCTAAGTTCTAGTTTATTATTTATTATATAGCACAAGAATTAAATACAAGAGGTGATCAGATATACTGTGAAAGAGTACCACTTCCCTTGTTCTGGATGCTTTTTTTTTTTAATGCTGCCAAATACTACTTTAGTTATTTTGACAACCACATATCACTGATTGACTTTATGTCACTAAAACCTTAAATTGTCAGCAGGTAGTGCTGTAAACCACTCTTAAGACATTTTTCCTATAGAACTCTATCTTGTTAGATTTTAGTTTATTGATTCATCTTGTCTAGCTAAAGCTGAATCTTGATTTTCATTCAGTATATTTCTCCTGTATCTTAAATGTTATATATGTTATCACCAAAAATAGCCTCATGCTAGTCATGAAGAACACAAACAGAGGAACCCAGTGTTAATCAGTGCAACTTAATAGTCTAACAGGATAGAAAAGAATAATTTCCAAAACAATAACATAGATAGTACATGTTTATGTGAGAAATGTGAACAAGTTGAAATGTGAACTAAAAAGACATGTCCCAGTAAAATTCCCTAAAAGGAGGTTTGTAATAGTGCAGGGCAGGGAAGGGGAAGGTAAGTAGAATAGCAGAGAGAAACTCTCCTTTATTGTGTGAAAATAATGAGATGTATCACATTTTTATTTTACTCCCTAATTTCAGTTCTAGGTAAAAAATGATCTAGTGATTCAGCAAGTAGTTTGTTACATGGGATTTAAAATTTTTCATTTAACTACAAATGATCGCATGAGAATATAAGCATCAAAGGCGGAATCCTGAATGTATCCAGTATATATAGGAAATATGGCTTCAACTGTATTGGATGATTTTATCTCAAGTTGAATGTTGGCCTCACAGAAGCTGTTTATAGTATTTAATTTTTTCAAAATCTGAAATATCATAATTAGAAAAATAAAAATATTTGGGTTTTATTTTCAGCATAGTAATTTATTTCATTTCTTGACTAATTATTTAAGCCCTTGATAAACAATGGTTATGGAGTAACTTACATGTAGCTCTCAAGTTCTAAATAATGTTAAGTTTAGCAGATAAGGCAGTTTATCACTGTGTTCTTTCACTCTGATTGCATAAGTATGTGTTGATAAAATAGTCTTAAATACAAGGACTATCGTAAATAAGCCATTTCATTAACATTGTAAAATGAATAGTTTTAAGATATAAAGTATGAAAGGAATTTTACAGTATATAAATTTTCTGCAGTTACAAATTTTTATTGACAGTCTTATTTTGAAAACCCCGGAATGTTTAAATATTCTGCATTTATGTTGACCATATTACCAAGATGCTAAAACATGCATCATTTTCTTCATTTTATAATTTTTATAGTGGGAACAGAGAAGCCAGATGATTTATTAGTTATTGCTGGTGAAAATACAGAGACCCTTTGAAACATTTGTCCCTCCTAGAATTCTCATGAAACCATATGCTTCTATCACGGCCCTTAACAGTCATGGGGAGTATGTGGGAACGATAGAGACTTATCCTGTCCCTTTCCTGCCAAAACCACAGATAGACCCACACACTTGAAAAATAAGGAAATAAGATCATCTGAGTATGGAGATTCCTCAAAAATTAAAATTAGATGATCCAGCAATTTCGATTCTGGATGTATACCCAAAAGAAGTGAAAGCAGGAACTTGGACAGATACTTGTAAATCTATGTTCACAGCAGCAATTCACAATAGCCAGAAGGTGGAGGCAATCCAAGTGCCCATCAAGGGATGAATGGTTAAAAGAAATGGTTAAAATATACACACATTGGAATATTATTCAGCTTTAAAAAGGAAGAAAATTCTGATACATATGACATCCTGGATGACTCTTGAAGACATTATGATATGTGAAATAAGCCAGTCACAAAATGGCAAATATTGTGTTATCCCACTTTTATGAACTACTTAATCAAATTCAAAGACAAAGTAGAATGTGGTTGCCAAGGGCTGGAGGGCAGAAGTATTGGGAGCTTATTGGTTTTTTTTGGTTTTGAGACAATCTCCCTCTGTTGCCCAGGCTGGAGTGCAGTGGTGCAATCTCAGCTCACTGCAACCTCTGCCTCCTGGGTTCAAGTGATTCTCATGCCTCAGCCTCCTGAGTAGCTGGGACTACAGGCATTCATTACCACACATGGCTAATTTTTGTATTTTTAGTCGAGACAGCCATCATGTTGGCCAGGTTGGTCTGAAACTCCTGACCTCAGGTAATCGGCCAACCTCAGCCTCCCAGAGTGCTGGGATTACAGGCGTGAGCAAACTGTGCCTGGCCAGAAGCTTATTGTTTAATGGGTACAGAATTTCAGTTTGGATGAAAAAGTTCTGGAGCCAGATGGCAGTGATGGTTGTGTAGGAATGTGAATGTACTTAGTTTCTTTTAACTTAAAAATGGTTAAAATGTCTTTATTCTGAGATTGCTAGTAACAGGTAAAAAAAAAAATGGTTAAAATGGTAAATTGTTAGGTAAATTCTACCACAATAAAGTTCAGGAAAGTTAATTTGTGAAATAAGCATAACACTCAGCAAACAAAAACTGAAGTATCTTCCAAAGACCTGATTGACAGTATTACTACTAATGAAAGAATGTTCCACATCAAAAGATACGGGTCAGCAAAGAAAATTTAAAAGGAGAAAAAATGGCAGTGTATTTTTAGCACTATCCAACTCAAAGAATGTAAGACATGTATGTGACTCAAGTGGATAGGGCCGCAGCAGGCTTGAAATATTAGCCGTTAAAAGCACCAAACTCATTTCTATCGTTTCCATTCCATATTTACCAAGCAATCTTCTGATTATAATTTGGATTTAGCCTTCATTGCAATTTGGTCAATAGAAGGAAGATAACCAGCAAACTCAACTATCCTAGCTCCCCCATAATTGCATTTCTCATAAATAATTACATTAGTATTAATGGCTTTCACACAGTATTATATTAGCAATTTGTGGTGTGTAACTGAGTACTCCCAAGTCCAGTCACTTCCAGACCTGATAAACCAATTTCAAGCCTATATAAAAAAAAAATCAGATACTGAAACTTAAGGAATCACATTGTGGACCTGCCAGACTGCATACATCTGTGGCAAGCTGACGTGGCTTTCCCCAAGCGATACCCCTCTCAGAATGCACTTTCCATATGTATTTCCATACAATTCTGTATTGCCTTTTGTCTTCTGCCTATAGACGTAGATCCTTGAGAACAGAGAATCGACCTTATCCATATCGCTAGCAACTAATAAAGTTCCTATCACAAAGAAATGAACCCGATAAAAATGTAATAAATCAAAATAAAACCTAATGTAGTAGGACATAATTAGGAAATAAATATTGAAAATAAGATTCTTCTATGTTTTAATACATATTTAGATATTAAAATTTCCTTGAAGGCTACGATAGACACACAATATCTGAGACAAAATGAGCATATCTAGATTGAGCTGGAACTCTTGATTTATATTGAAATTACATAGGCCATATTTGTTAGAATGCCCATGAGTGGCACTCTAGCCATAGGATATCTACATAAAGTACAGACAGGCCTCAGAGAGCATACTTGCCTTTTCCCTAATAACCCTCTTCTGTGCTACAATAAAGAACATAGAAAATGTATACCTTCACTTGCTAAATACATGGGACTTGTATAAGTGCCACTTCACATATATTAGGTCAAAGGAAAGATAAAATTCCTTTCTAATGTGCCCTAGAGTTCTGCTGTTTCACATAATACAGCATTTGGACTAAACACTGGCCAAAGAGTGCCTAGATGAGGAATCTACCAATGATAGCACACACAACAGGATCTTGCTTGTCTTGACAGCACAGGAGAGTATTGGGATACACCTGCTGAACATAATTGAATTGTAAGAAAAATAATAATTGATGCGAAAGGTTTTTATATTCAAACTGGATTCCAGTGTATAACAGAAATAACCTCTGACCTGCCATATGTAATCAAACAATATAATTTTTCTTAAACTTTAGGTTTTAATTTTTTTTCCTTTTTTTAGGCCAACAATTCACCCTAAAGAAAATGTGAGTTATTTTATCTTCTAGCAGTTAAGAAAACAGACTCCATTGCCAGATGGCCTGACTTCTAATCCTAGCTCACTTTTCCTAGTTGTGTGACCTCCAAAGCACCCAAACTCACTGGCCCAGTTGTTTGTAAAATGAGGACAATAACTACATTATGGGATGGTGAAAAAATTAAATTAATCTACAACAGTGCCTGGTACATAGTGACCCTTTATTATTATTGTTATCGTTACACATAATTGAAATTTTTGAAAGACATAAGCTCCACTAATATTCTGGTAATTATTTACTTATTCTGTATCTACCTCTAGACTCTACTCTGTGACTTCCCAACATGTTATGGGATTTACTCATCTTTTATACCCAGAGCTTCACAACGTGCAAAGTACAGGTATATATGCCAGCCCTGTACAACAGTGCATTCTAAGATCCTTGCTTACCGAAATCTTAAATACCAGCAGGGGAGAAGAAAGACTCTTGGAATCAATCTGTTCAAACAATGGTAACAAGTTCATAAGCCAATAAAAGAAAAAAAAGCAGGTGCAAGACTCTGAAAACATACCATGCTGAATTTCGTGTACAAAGAACAATATGAAAATAGGATTTTTTAAGGTAACAGAATATTTACCACCGCCTTTTTAAAAAAAAATTACAAAAATAAGCCAGCCCCTTTTTTCCAAGTGAATTGGGAGTAACGGTTTACACTGTCCGACCAGAAACACTTCCGTTCTTTTGGACCACCCCCCCACACCCACCCCCCCCACCCCAACCCTCGCCCCGGTAGCGGGCGTCGCTAGTTTCATCCTATTTCTCCGATGAAGGTATAAGGTACCCCACCGCTACCTTTAGATTTGGTGATAGTTCCCATAAAAATGGAGTGAACAATCTACCCCATCCTTTTATCACAATATCAACTAAATTCCAGCAAAAGGCAAAAAAAAAAATTCTTTTTCTTGTAGCTTAGTGTTTGCAACTTGATGTGTCGTCAGACAAACCTGTAATCGGTCTCCGCTGGATCAGTCACTAGCTGTGTAAGTCTACGGAACTCCCATCACCTGCAAATCTGAAGAAAAATGCATGCGGGCACGCAGGACGTTTTGGGCAAAGACGGCCTTTAAGCTTTTGTTTTTACTAAGAATGCCGCTCTAGTGAAACAGCAGCCAGTTCTGAAGGGACCCGGCACGGCGTTGATGTTATCACTTCAGAGCGCCAGGTTCGGGCTTCCACCTATTCCAGGAGCAGCAATAGGGGCAGTCGACAGTCTTTACTAGGGAAAGGAGACAAGTGCTAGCACCTGCTCCCCAAGAGGACGGTAGGTGAAATTGCTCACTCTTCACCCCAATGATGGTATGCACCTGGAAACGCGGTTCTAGTTCGCGCCCTTCGCCGCCTTATAGCAGACCAGAGACCAGCGCTTCCCAACTCACGTGGGTTCACCCTGCAGCTTTCTTGGCCCCAAAGGGTAGTGCTTTGCATAGCCCTCCTTGTCCAGATTTTGTTAATGCAAATCTAATTCCTCTAGGGTTTCCTGTCTGTCTGGGCTTCACTGCCCGCAACTGTCCTCTGCAAGTAGGTCGCTCACCTCGAATCCCTGGGATTCCCTGTATCCCTTTAGTGTGGTGGAGAAACGATCTGCTTTAACACCCAGAAAGTTTTAGAACGGATGATTTGGGGGCATAAAATTAGGTACTTCGCAGTGGGAAGATACTACCGTGCTTTAGTGATGGGCTATTATTTTGGGGGGAAAGGATTTGGGAAGATGCGTGTTATGATAAAGCCTGTAGCAAAAAGTGGAGATTTAATTTCAAAGATTAAAATTAAAGATAAAATAGGTGTTAGGTTGCAGTCATTTTAGTCGAAATACTTCTTTTAAGAAGAGCTTCATGAGAACACTATTGTTTATAACCCAGAGACTAAATCTGATGGGTGTGTGTTTATGTTAACTCTTGTTTTTGAACCAAATGATCAAGTTTTATTTTGAAAGGTGTTTTTAGGAAACAGAATACATTAACATTATTTTTATCTGTTACATCTGCCTTTGTTATTTATTCTTTTTAGAAAATCCACATTTTGTCTTAATTTTAGCTGTCAAAAAATAAATAGCACTTTTCAGAGGACTCTATCATTATTGTACTGTAATATTAGCTGTCTTAATAAGTCTTTTGGTATGAACAGCATGCAAGTAATACTAAAAAATTTTATATCTGACTCGTCTTCCCTCTTGAGGAACATTATATCCATTCATAATGTTATTTATATTCACATGTTGCTATAGCCTTTACAAAATTTTGGTGACTTTTACAGACTTTCCTGTAATTCTGTAAAACTATATATTGAAAGATTGGCAGGCCAATGTCAGTTGCAAATAAGAAGTTGTTTCTGTAATTCTTTTTCAGGAATTATCTATAGAGTAAGTATTAATCTTGAATAAGACAGCAGGAGTTTTTAAACCATCAAAAAGGAAAGTTTATGAATTTTTAAGAAGTTTTAATTTTCATCCTGGAACACCATTTCTTCATAAAATAGTATTGGGAATTGAAACCAGTTGTGATGATACAGCAGCTGCTGTGGTGGATGAAACTGGAAATGTGTTGGGAGAAGCAATACATTCCCAAACTGAAGTTCATTTAAAGTAAGTAGACATTATCGTAGTCATTTCCACTTTTTTTGGAAAAAGTAAAATGAAACCATCTTTTCAATTTGTCATATATAAAAGTTTTCAGGAGCTACTGTCTTATTCCTTTTTGCAAACACTTTAAACAACTGCTATCGAAAACCTCAAATACCTCATCCTGGCTTTTAAGAGTCTTCACAATAAGCTCCCAACGTTAACTAATCCTATTGCCAAAAGAAAATAAGCTCATTCTCAGCTTCAGTATTTATCGATGATTTTCCTTCAGTAATGCATTCCTTCTTTTCTCCACTTCTGTGTTTCATGGTCTCAGCTGACGTCCTAGGAAAACTGTGTTAATCACTGAAAAAAAAAAAGCCCTATTCATATTTATACATATATGTTGTGTTAGTACTCAAATAAATTATAATAAGCATAGAATGGTGCAAGGATTATAAACTGAGATGTTTGTAGAGGACCACCAGGTTATACCCAAATAAATGGACAAGATATAAAGAGGAAAATGTCTGGAGGAGGTCACTACTCAGCTCTAGCCAATTGTCATGCAGGAATGCAGGACTTGTGTTATTAGAGTATCGTAATTTTTAAGAAAAAATGGAAATCCAAATCTTTAATGTCATATTTTGAGATTTTTAAAATTAGTAGCAAATTCAAAATATATTAAAATACTCTGCAGATGAGTATGTCTTTAAGCCATCAATTTACAACATCTGAATAGTGAAAAAGCCTGGTATTTTGAAATCATAGTCCTGTATTTGAATCTTGAATTAAGTACTTAGTAGTGGCTCTGTAACTGTAGGCAAGTTCCGTATCCTCTCTGATTCTGTTTTTACATCAGCAAAATAAGAAAATTAACATCTGCCTCATAGAATTAGGGGAGGGTGGCATTAGAAATAATATATGTGAAGAGGCAGATTAAGCCTCAAACAATATGCGGGAGGGACTGTGTTGGGTATTAATAAGGCACCATGAAGTACTGGAAAGTCCTTGGCTTCAGGAAGCTTAACTTGATCATGGAAACATGATGTCTAGAACTACAAGGAGAATTAATAGTACAAGGCAGCATAAGGTAAATATCAAACAAGTGGTGCAAACAGTAACTATTGTTACCATGTCTCAACTTCATAGCCCTTTCAGTTTCTCTTGAGTGCACTGAACTTTTGAACACATAAAGGTTAATAGAAAGGACTATCCTGGCCACTTTATCTAAATTCTATTCTGTGTCAGGATACCCTGCATATATACTTTGTAATACTTTCATAATTTATACATTTGCTCATTTATGTATCATCTCTCTTAGTAGATGTCTAAGTGCCATGGTGACAGAAGCCATGTCTGTATTAATCAATAATGCTTTACCTAGTACCCAACATGTTTGACACATCACAGGTATTCAGCGGCCTTTTGTTAGGCCTTCTGTAAATGGAGATGGAAAGAATATTATAACCTGGCTGTGTTAGTTCATTCTTGGACTGCTCTAAAGAAATCTCTGAGACTGGGCAGTTTACAAAGAAAAGAGGTTTCATTGGTTCATGGTTCCATAGGCTGTGCAGGAAGCATAGCAGCATCTGCTTCTGGGAGGCCCCAGGGAGCTTTTACTTTTAAACAACAAGATCATGAGAACTCATTCACTATCACAACACAGTACTAAGGGGAAAATCTGCCCCCATGATCTAGTCACTTCCCACCAGGCCCCATCTCCAACACTGGGCCTTACCATTCTACATGAGATTTGGACAGGGACACAGATCCAAACCGTATCACTGAGTGAGCATTGTCAGCAAAGGCAAAGAAGTGAGAAAGTGCTGGACATTCAATTTAGCTACAGCATAGGTCACTTGAGGAGAAAAATAGGCTTCAGTGATACCATCCACCTAGCTCATTTCAGCATTTTTTGAATACCTATAGTTACCAGGCAATACTTGGGGCATTTGGGGTACAAATGTGAATGACACATATGACCCTTGCTTTGAACTGCTCACCATATAGGTGGGTTAGAGTGTAGGCTCACATAGACTCTTGGCTATATAGCTTCAAGCCTCAATGGTTTCTCTGCCTCTTTATTAGCTTTGTTCCCTAATCCACACTCCATACTGTCTACAAATCATAGCAAGACAAAAATACATTGTTATTATTAATTCTTTGAGAATAAAACCATGTTCTTATTTGGCCCTAGTGTTTAGCATAATCTCTGGAAGATAAAATACACAGAAAAGGCACAGAAAGGAAAGGAGGGGGGCAAGACAGAGAAGGAAGAAATGAGTGACAGGGAGAGAATTTAGATTTGATGTCTCCCAAATTCTGCGAAACTAAAGGTTTTGAGTAGGGGAATAATGGGTGGCACTGTGCTTTAGTTTATTCTCTGGCAGCAATATAGGATGGCCTCTAAGGATCAAAGGACATAGTTAGGAAAGTGCAATTAGAGGACTGTTGAATAGACTGAGATGAGGGCTTTTGAGACTGGGCAGTGGGAGTGGAGATTAATGTGGAGAATGAGGGAGAGAAAGGAGGTAAAGATGAACTTTGAAACTGGAGGGTTATTTGATGCTGCTAACAGAGATGACAGAGATAAGAGAAAAAGTAGCTTTGAAAAATAAAATAAAATTATATTACAGTGTAGATGTGCTGAAATCAGATCATTTCATTCATATCCCCCTCATTTCCTGAAACAATATTTTAATTATTCAGCAAATATTCATTAAATGCACTTACTGAGGATTTTCATTTCTACATATAGAACTAGTAGGTTTTATAACATCAAATATTTGAGGATTTTTTTTTTTTGAGACTAGCAGTGCATTTTGCAGACTCTGTATTTTAATGCTCTACTTCTCATATAGTAACTCAGTCACATGGCAAATTTGCTGCTAGCAAATTTGCCTCAGTTCTTTACACTTGATGTTTGGAGTGGCCATCCATTGTCCTACATGGACTAAAAATCCAAATTAGCAGTTCTGAACACCAGATTCCCAAACTGTATTTCAGGATTGCAAGCTATCTGCTGTCCTGCTGTGACCTCAAGTGGAATGTGTTTTAAAATTAGCTCATCTTTATAAAACTGTCTTCATGTTTCTCTGTTAGAATTTCTTTTCACCCAATCATTCCAGCTGAATAGCTGAACAAACTTTGATGTCTTAGTCCCGCGGACCTTATATTCAATTAGTTATTACAGTTCTCAAGGTTCTCTGTCCCTTTCTTTCCAGTCCCGCAATCACCCAGTTTAAGATATAATCACTTTACACAAATACTTTTGCAGTAATCTCTCTTAAAATCTCCTGTCAGCAAGAAGATTAATTTTCCTTAAATACAATTTTTTTTCCTGTCCTTCCCATGCTCAAACCTTGTGTGGAATACTGTGCAAGATTGTTTTGCTGATTTCATTAATCAACAAATAAATCCGTGTGAGTTTGCTGTGAATAAGTTGAAAAAGTCAGAAACATTATCCCCTTAATTACTGCATACTGAGTTATAACCACAGTATACTACATTAGAAAGTACACATTAGAAAATACTTGATTTACTCAGCTATATAATGATTAACTTGAGGACATGCCTTTAGTTGTAATATATTATCATTTTTCTTCATTTTTACATTCTTAAAACTACAAAAAGCTGTCTTTGTTTCTTTCAGAACAGGTGGAATTATTCCTCCAGTAGCTCAACAGCTTCACAGAGAAAATATTCAACGAACAGTACAGGAAATTCTTTCTGCCAGTAGTATCTCTCCAAGTGACCTCTCAGCAATTGCAACTACCATAAAACCAGGACTTGCTTTAAGCCTGGGAGTGGGCTTATCATTTAGCTTACAGCTGGTAGGACAGTTAAAAAAGCCATTCATTCCCATTCATCATATGGAGGCTCATGCACTTACTATTACATTGACCAATAAAGTAGAATTTCCTTTTTTCGTTCTTTTGATTTCTGGAGGTCACTGTCTGCTGGCATTAGTTCAAGGAGTTTCGGATTTTCTGCTTCTTGGAAAGTCTTTGGACATAGCACCAGGTGACATGCTTGACAAGGTTATTATTTAAGAATTAATTTCTCCATTCTTTTTTGTTATGTTGTCCATTTCAACTAAGTAGCAATAGATGTGCTACCACCATTCATCTAAATATTTCTGAATGATATCTTAGTAAACTGAAAAAAATTCACATATGGTAAGAAAAAATAAAAAGTAGTACACAATTTTAGAATTCTTTCTTAGCCTTTCCTAATAAAATGGTAAGAGGTTAGTATCTATACATAAAGGCTGAAATAGTTGGCAGATACAGTTATGTATTTTGTCAAATAATATACGTGAAGGAAAGTGCTTTGTAAACTAACATACTGCAAAAAGGTAAAATAAGAGAATATATAAAGATTAACATAAGGACAGAGTTCTATGATTAAATCACATAATTGCTGACACCAGAGACAGATAGGGTTTTTTCTCCCCCTTTGTTTTAGAATACTGCAGAGGCTACTGCCATATATAGGGGGCAAAAAAACAAAACAAAACAAAACAAAAAACCACTGCTTCCCACAGTGAACTGATAGGAAGAAAGTATAGGGCAAGTTCTTATTACTGATGTTCATCATTAAGCAGTCATTGTCAACTTCAAGCCTATTTTCCAACCCCAATAGAAGAGCAAACAGACGGGGCAGTGATTGGCCTTGTTCAGGTCATCATAAGGAACAGGGTTGTCTGCTTACCTGAATATCAGCTATAGTCTATATTTCTCAAAGTATAGCATGTTTTATTCATTTGGTGGAGGGGGAGGCTATTAGCAATTTTCAACTTATTTCCCTTGCCTCTTTTGGTTTCAAAGTATTTAATTTTATGACTCATTAAAAAAATATATTTTTTTGATAGGTGGCAAGAAGACTTTCTTTAATCAAACATCCAGAGTGCTCCATCATGAGTGGTGGGAAAGCCATAGAACATTTGGCCAAACAAGGAAACAGATTTCATTTTGACACCACACCTCCCTTGCAATGTGCTAAAAATTGTGATTTTTCTTTTACTGGACTTCAACACCTTCTTAATAAAATAATAATACAAAAGGAAAAAGAGGAAGGTATATTTCTAATTAGTAAAGTTGAACAGATAAATATTCCTGGATTGTTTCTAAAAATACCTGCTCATTTCTGCAGGTATTGAGCAGGGACAAATCCTGTCTTCAGCTGCAGACATTGCTGCCGCAGTACAGCACATAACAGCATGTCATATTGTGAAAAGAACACATCGAGCTATTCTGTTTTGTAAGCAGAGAAACTTGTTACCTCAAAATAATACAGTACTGGTAAGTTTTATCTCATTTTATTGTAATAGTTACACTTTGCAATATGTTACTTTTTTTCCCCAAGACCTTGACCTTGTGTTTAGGTGAACAGATCTTTATACGCTGTGCTAGCCCTGACAGTATGAAATCATGCAGGATAGGAAAGACTAACGCCATTTCTTGTACTAGTTTGACAGCTTCATGAAACATCTATATAGTTTTATAGCACAAAAGTCCAAGACGGCATCTTCTTATTGGATTTAAAAGAGGGTTTACAATAAAGAAAGCAAATGCAGTAATTGCTGTCATTATTTTTAGAAAAATAGGCAGATTTCCTTCATCCTTTGAGGAAATCCCTTTTTGTTTTTAAATAAGCCAGTCAAATTTAGCAGTGGGAGGTTGTACAAAAACTTTCATGAAACACTAATGTTAATAAGTTCTGATAACCCACTACCATTGTACCAGCTGAAATCCCTTTAATTGTGCTTAAAAACCTTGATAAACATCCTATTTAACTGTATCTGAAACTTTATTCTTTTAAAAATTATAAACTAAAGTGGGAAAATGTTTAAATGGTGGTAATTCATAGATGGAATTTTACATTGATATCAAAGAATAATTTTTTAAGAGTTATATAGTAAGATGCACAAAATAAAAAATTCAAGGTCTAAAATAATAGTTTGATGGTAATTATATTAAATATTGAGATGAAAGGTGTGAAGAAAATATACAAAAAATGCTAGTAATGTTTCTATGCTATTAGAAATGTTAGTGATTTTTTCTTTGTAAATTTTTATTATATAGATATATAACTTGCCCATTACTCATCTCAAAATGAGATAGTTTATTATTGTACAATGCTGATATTTTCCCCCCAGGTTTAATTAACAGCTTGATTCATATCCATGTGATCGTTTTTGGTTTTCTCAATTCCTTCAGGTTGCATCTGGAGGTGTTGCAAGTAACTTCTATATCCACGGAGCTCTGGAAATTTTAACAAACGCAACACAGTGCACTTTGTTGTGTCCTCCTCCCAGACTGTGCACTGATAATGGCATTATGATTGCATGGTAGGCCACAAGATATATGTGCTTCACTCATAATCATCTAAATATTAATTGCCATTTTATCATACTAAACCTTCTTCCTTCAGATCTTGGAGCTATTGATTTTATTTTAATAATTTTTATTTAGGAACGGTATTGAAAGATTACGTGCTGGCGTGGGCATCTTACATGACATAGAAGACATCCGCTATGAACCAAAGTATGTGGTACCATTCATGCTCTTTATGCAGGTTACATTACTTAGGTCAGTGCCTGAATTTTGTTTTTATATATGAGGTTTTCATTGACATTCTGGTGGTACTTGAAGGAAAGTGACATAAATGTCTTTCATAAACCTAGTTAAGGTTGATACTGTATAAGAAGTATTTTTGCTGCAGCATCAAATTATAAAAATCTTGACAAGTTTAGGTGAGTTAGAAACAAACCATGAGTAAGGATGATGAATTCCTTCCTTTGGAACTAGAGTGGAAACCATGTTCATGGCCTGGACTTTTGCGATGTCAATAACATCTCAAAACCAGCTAACGTGCTGGGAAATTTAAGGGAAACCTGCAGAAAGCATTCAGATGTGAAAATGGGTTGTGATTATGCTCTTACACAGGCAGCTGAGAATTGGCCAAAAGATTGCTATTTCCTGCAAGCCTTATTTCCTCTCCCAAATCAAAGTTCCAACAAATAGCACAGTTTTTTCTTTTACTTTTTCTTTTTGAGACAGAATCTTACTGTGTCACCCAGGCTAGAGTGCAGTGGCCCATTCTCAGCTCACTGCAAACTCTGCTTCCCGAGTTCAAGTGATTGTCATGTCTCAGCCTCCTGAGTAGCTGAGATTACAAGTGCGCACTGCCACATCCAGCTAATTTTTTGTATTTTTAGTTTTTGGGTTTTGCCACATTGGTCAGGCTGGTCTCGAAATCCAGACCTCAAGTGACCTACCCACCTTGGCCTCCCAAAGTGCTGGGATGACAGGTGTGAGCCACCATGCCTAGCTGGTTTTTCAATTTACTATATAATTCTGTTATAAGTTAATTCTGGAATAGGAAAAGACAATTATTTTCATAATCTAACATAATTATATTTTAAACATCTTTTCATCTGATGTTTTAAAACTTGTCAGCATTGGTCAGACACAGTGGCTCATGCCTGTAATACCAGCACTTTGGGAGGCTGAGGTGGGCAGATCACCTAAGGTCAGGGGTTCAAGACCAGCCTGACCAACATGGTAAAACGCTGTCTCTACTGAAAATACAAAAAATTAGCTGGGTGTCATGGCGGGTGCCTTAATCTCAGCTACTCAGGAGGCTGAGGCAGGAGAATTGCTTGAATCCGCGAGGTTGAGGTTGTAAGCTGAGATCATGCCTTGCACTCCAGCCTGGGTGACAGAGCGAGACTCCATCTCACAAAAAAACAAAAACAAAAAAACTTGTCAACATTATATTTCATAACTAGACAGTTGTGCTATAGAGAAGAACCTATAGAAACCTGGGACATTTGTAAAATGTGAATGAATGCAGGTTTGACTTTAGCTGTGTGGCAAAAATGTTTTACCTTTTTAGCTCTGTAGAGATTTATAAGATATTTTTCTTATTTTTATATTTTATTTTATGTTTTAACTTACTTATGTACAGTATTTGAGAACAAGAAAACAGATGTTCTCAAAAAAAGTCTCAAAATTTAGATTTCTTATTAATGAGGCTAGCTTTCATGATCCTGACTTGAGGTCTCACTATATTTCTATGCGTTTAAGAATCATCACCACATATGATGAATAATACATTAGATACTTGTACCTTCAGAATTCTAAGCAAATAGTCTGTAGAACTAGTGATGGATCATGAAGCAAACAAATAATGTGATTTGTCTGATTCTGATGTAGATGTCCTCTTGGAGTAGACATATCAAAAGAAGTTGAAGAAGCTGCCATAAAAGTACCACGATTAAAAATGAACCTATGATTTTTGCTGTTCAAAAAAATCCCTACAGGTAGTATTAATGTTAAAATTAAGTCTTTATTGTTTTATATATCAAATTGTAGAAGAAATATAATATTAATTATTTATCAAGACTTTCTTTTGTTATTTCTTTTTCTTATGTTTGATGTTTTACCTGCTCTTCTGAGATACTGTAATGTTAAAGTCTTACAAGAAAACATAGTTTTTTTTTTTTTAATCATTAAAAAACCAAAATAAAACATCTTTTGAGAAAGGAATGTATTGATGTTGGCAGGTAGAAAGAAAAACTTTGAAAGAAGTACAGTAATTTTGCTGAATCCTGGCTTTGTATCATATGGGCCTAGGACTTATCCCCACTTCCTCAAATCAGAATAGGAGAAGCTATTTTTCTATTTTTTGACTTCTATTGAAACATGAACCTGACTTTATAATGAGAGAGTAATTTTATTTGTTTTTCTTTTCTTTCCCTTTTTTTTTTTTTTTTTTTTTTTGGAGACAGTGTCTCCCTCTGTCACCCAGGCTGGAGTTCAGTAGTGTGATCTTGGCTTACTGCAACCTCTGCCTTCTGGGTTCAAGCAATTCTCCTGCCTCAGCCTCCCGAGTAGCTGGGACTACAGGTGACCACCACTATGCCCAGCTAATTTTTTGTATTTTCAGTAGAGACAAGATTTCACCATGTTGCCTAGGATGGTCTTGAACTCCTGAGCTGAGGCAGTGTGCCTGCCTCAGCCTCCCAAAGTGCTGGGATTACAGGTGTGTGTGAGAGAGCAATTTTAGATCAAAGTCATATAAAAGCAGACATTTCCAAATCAAGACAAAAGCTGACTTTCTCTAACATAATATGTTATTAATTTTAAGAGTTCATTACGGGCTGGACGCAGTGGCTCCTGCCTATAATCCCAGAACTTTGGGATGCTGAGGTGAACAGATCATGAGGTCAGTAGTTGGAGACCAGCCTGGCAAATGGTGAAACCCCATCTCTTAAAAATACAAAAAATTAGCCAGGGATGGTGGCTGGCGTTCACCTGTAAATCCAGCTACTTGGGAGGCTAAGGCAGAAGAACTGCTTTAACCCAGGAGGTAGAGGTTGCAGTGAGTCAAAATAGTGCCACTGCACTCCAGCCTGAGTGGCAGAGCAAGACTCCATCTCAAAAAGACAAAAACAACAAAAAAGAATTTGTTATTAGGTATGCTCTGTGGAGTAAATAGGATGTCTATGCATTTTTTAAAATACATCTAATTTGAGGTTTTACAATTTTAACATGTAAGTAATCCCTGAAGTGTATGTATTGTACACTTTAGTTGTCCATATACTTTCACATCAGTTATTTGAGAAATTGTATATAATCAGATGGAAATAAATCTGGGAGTTTTTTTGGTTAATTTTTTTTGAATCCAGACTTTGTACTGCAAATATCATAAGCTTATCACTGTTTTTCTGTCTTGATTAAAGTAACTAAATGTACTGTTCTTTGAATATAACACTCTATTTTTGGAGGCCTTTCTCAGACATAATTTTTAATTTTTATTTTTATAGACAGCATCTTGCTATGTTGCCCAGACTGGACTAAAACTCTAGGCCTCACGTAATCCTCCAACTTCAGCCTCCAAGGGCCAGCTTCTCACACATCATTTTAAAAAAGTAAAAAATGTAGAGTAATAAAAATAATCTTTATGGGGGGGCATTGTACTTTAGGAGAAAGAAATAGTATATATTTTAGGAGTGGTAAGATGGTCTGGCTAGGCCAAGATACTGAGGAAATTCCTGGAATTGAATGCAAAGAAACTCTGATAACCTGAAAATAGTTCTAAAATACAGTCTTCAGCATACCTGAAACCAGTTTCAGAGCTCAAAAGTTGCTCTCTAAAGGCTTTAAAAAATATCTATAGAAGCTTAATATGTCCATTCTTATGAATTCTTATCCTTAATGGTGCTGGATAACACAGTTTATCATTCGAATATGTATTGATTTCTAGTACGAAATATACAATTTCCCTCCACATTTTCTATTAATTTAGTTGATCTACCAGAAAGTTGTGACTCAGCACCATTAAGATAATTTAGAATTAAATATGAAATTAAAGAGGTCTCTTACTTTTCAGTGGTTAAGAACACAAGCTTTGGGCCAGGCATGGTAGCTCATACTCGTCATCCTAGCTTTGGGAGGCCAATGAAGGAGAATCGCTTGAGACCCAGGAATTTGAGACCAGTCTGGGCATCTCACCTCAGCCTCCTGAGTAGCTAGGGCTCCTGGCCTGTACCACCACACTCAGCATAACAGAGACTGAGGACCTGTAGCCCTAGCCACTCAGGAGGCTGAGGTGAGATGATTGCTTTGAACCCAGGAGTTTAAGGCTGCAGTTAGCTGTGATTGCACTATTGCCCTCCAGCCTGGGTAACAGAGCAAGACCCTTTCTCCAAAAAATAAATAAATAATCATTCATTCACTCACTGGCTCTGGACTGTGCCACATAGAAAGCCCTAAGTACATATTGGGGAAAATAACTGCTGATTAATATATGCTTACAATCTAACTGCAGCCCAGGTAGAGAATGGATTATAGCAAGACCCTCAGACTGTATGGAGGCAATTGAGCAAGTGGATGGAGAAAAGGGGAGCTTTAAAGTACACAGCGAAGCAGAGCCCAGTGGCTCACACCTGTAATCCCAGCACTTTGACAGGCCAAGGCAGGTGGATCACCTCAGGTCAGGAGTTCAAGACCAGCCTGGCCAACATGGTGAAACCTCATCTCTACTACAAATACAAAAATGAGCCGGGGGTGGTGGTAGGCACCTGCAATCCCAGCTACTCAAGAGGCTGGGGCAGGAGAATTGCCTGAACCCAGGAAGCAGAGATCCTACTTATCTTTACAGAAATCCTACTTATTTTTTGAAACCGTAACTCTGACCTGTTACTAAATTCCATAGACATGCTAAGGAAAATCTGCTTAGTATCGAGATCAAGAACTTCTATTCAAAAAGATTATTCAGTTGTGTTATTTGCATATTACCATAATTAAAAATAAAAAAATTTTTTAAAGATGGCTCAGGAATCCTTTCATACTAAGTGCTATTATTAGCTTTCTTCAGGCTCTGGGTTGGCTTTCTGGACGTGTTTCCCAAGTTGGCTCAAACACACTATTCTTGGTCTTGATACATTTGTGATATCTGATGTAAGTGTAGGTGAAAAAGAAAAAATAATATGGGAATCCTTGGTCTTTTTTGTTGCTTTGAAGCATCCCACGAAGTTAGTTACAGTAGGTAATAAAGTCAAAGAATCTTTTGGTTGAATTTTAGGTTCTAATTTTCTTCGGTGCTCTTTCCCTAAAAATTAGAGAGCCTCAATTAAATGTCTCTACTGAGAGCCCTAGGTGTAGTCTCATTACTTCTAGTTCTATGTAGTTTTATTTTCTTTACATAACTAAAACATACTAAGAGAACCAATCAGTGCTTCCAGACTTTTAGATGTCAGAGGCCAAAAATTTGTGGGGACCACTATATGGTTTGCTAGCTTGTTAATATGTCAAGTTATCATTAATAAAAGAACAAATACTACTTTAAACATCATTATGTAAAATAAAGAATATTTTAGTACCAAAAGAAAATATAAAAGGCATCATCTCAAATGATAGACTTGACATTGAATGAAATGAATTTCATCAGAAACTTGCTACCTTGTCCTTATTTTTTCTTATGTTACCACAAGCCTGTGAAAACTTCATCAGATTATGACTGATAAACAGGTTGTTGTTTAGAAACCAGTGTTAAAGTGAAGAAAGAGTGAGACTGACTTTATTCTTGTGTGTAAATTACTCTTACATTAAAGAAGCTATATTAAAAATGAATATATATATTTCTATATAGATTTCTATATTGATATTCTATGTATATTTCTACATAGCCTCCTCACATACCTAGCTTCCCTCATAAACTCGCTGAATACATGAAGTTGTTTCCTCTCCTTTTACTGTCTTTAAATTCTCTCCCTTTCTGTTTGTGACTCTAGCAAACTGATCTTGACTTCTGAATGTTTCTATCCCTGATTTTCATGATAGGACAACATTCCAAGTAAGGACTGATTATGGTCCTACATGAACAAGCACTAAGAATATATGTGAAATTGACAAGTAATTCCTATTCCCTGGAAGGGATAAATAATATGAGATCTAGACCCTGACCTCTGCAAATCTAGTCCATTCAAGTATAATGTACCAACTATTTACAAAACTATATAATAGAATATCAATTGAAAAAAAATGTCTCAGCCCTAAGAATTCAGATAAGTAAGTTGTACATGAAACAACAATAGCAAGACCATAATTTAAGTCATACTTACAGGTTGTTTAAATAATGACTTATTTCTACGCATGGTTTGAGAAAAGCAAAATAAGACAGGGATCACTTTCAAGTGATACTAGTAGGGAAGGCCTTAAAGAAAATGATTATCATGGACTTGTAAATAAGAAGATATTTTAGGTAGACGGAATTACAAAAGAAAAGTATGTAGGTAAACTCTTTCTGGGGAGTAGCCTCTATCTTTTTTTTTTTTTTTTTTGACATGGAATCTCACTCTGTCACCCAGGCCTGAGTACAGTGTGGTGTGATCTTGGCTCACTGCAGCCTCTGCCTCCCAGGTTCAGACAATTCTCCTGCCTCAGCCTCCCAAGTAGCTGGGATCACAGGCATGTGCCACCCTGCCCTGCTAATTTTTGATTTTGTTTTTTTTTTAGTAAAGATGGGATTTCACCATATTGGCCAGGCTGATCTTGAACTCCTGACCTCAAGTGATCTGCCCACATTGGCCTCCCAAAGTGCTGGGATTACAGGCATGAGCCACTGTACCCGGCCTACATTTTGAATAATTTTTAGAGATGGAATACAGAATTATAAAGTATCTGGAGTAGGAGTTACTTTATAGATAAAAGAAAAATCAATTACCTTTTTTAAAGACAGGAATTATGGATGGTCCTCCATTCTTCTCCAGACTAAAAGAAAAACATTTTTATCATTATTAAAATAAATAAAGACATAATGCACCCAGAAAAAATATATGAAGAAATAATGGTACCAGGTTTAATGACTAATGACCTAATTCATACATGTTACCTCCACTAACTGCATGTTACATGTAAGTATTTTATATTCAGTCACTTATTTACTCTAAGCATTTGGAACATTAAATCTGCTTGAAGTGATCAGGGGAAGTGTTACAGAAAAAGAGACTTCAGCTGGGTTTTGAAGAAGATAGTTCTGAAAAAGGGGTATATTTTTCTACTTCCCACAAAGTCATCACATGGGCTAGCCGTGGGAGTGACTGTGTAAAATACTACTTACATTATTTATTGTAATTCTTTGAACCAATGAAAATTATTTAGCATTATCAATTATAACAGTTATAATATAAGTTCCTTGGCTTATCATAAAATTAGGTCACCTGTTTCAGACTTTCAGTTTTTTAAAGTAGATCCAAAGATGTACTCATCATTCTCTTTACTTAAAATTGCTGGAGAATCTATGTTTGTACATGGCTATCTACAATCATAGATAACCATGATGCTCTATTGGATCCTATTCTCTTCCATTATCATAGAGTTAATCATGTATTTTGAGTAGTTCTATTTCCCATGTATGAATCACTACTTGCAGAGAAAACTTGTAATTCAGTTCCATTTACAGAACAGATAATTTACTTAAAGAGATTCTCCTCTCTTCCTTTTTGTGGGGGACTTAAGTTTGTGATAAAACCACAACACTGAGTTAAAATCCTCTGAATTAAGTTCCTGGAAAACTTCACCATAATTTTAACCACTAAGCCTAATTTAGCCCTGTTTCTACCCTGAGAATTTGGCCTAGTCTAGAAGACTCATTTGATGCTAAGGTCGGGGTGATGGTCTTGTCTCAGAACTGTCAAATGTACCCCTAGTCTACTAAAAAGTGACTTCTTGAATCAGATGTGGTGGTCACCAGTCTCCCAAAAACTTTCTAAAATATGAATAATCCTGGCCAGAGAGGATCTTCAAGATCTAGGTGTATTCTTGTCTGCACCCACAACTCTGGTGCTAAGTTGCAATTAAAACAGGTTTTGGCAATGGCCATTTAGAATGAAGTTTATCCTCTGCTATATAGAAGATATATTCCTATAAAGAATAGTTCCTCTTGTTTGCTCTTACTAAACCTCCTTAAAGTTTTCTCTATCAATAATTTGACTACTGTGACTTCTAATATAGGACCATACCTTATGGGAGGAAGTCCCATCATTTGTTGCATTTGAAATTCCTTTAAAAAATGCTGGGTTAATACTCGCATCTCTGCTGATATTATTTTTTATACAAATGAACTGATTAGGTTTATTCCTGCATTCCTTTAATAGGATGCGGAAAGCATTTGCATTGTATGTTAAGTAGCCAAGAGCAGTGGAACAAGCTGCACGAACCTAAATGAAGAAACAGTTCTTTCTTAACCAATGGGCTTTGTTCTTAAAATATCTTAGTGATCTAATTAGCTACTGCATAGGGAAGTCTCTGTAAGGGAGGGAGCAAGTGTAAGCAAATATGTATGCAAACAAATGGCAATGTATAGATGGAAGCTTAACAGTCATATTTTTACCGAGAGCTGTCAACTGCCATTGATTTCTATTAGTTCTCAATCTTAACTAAATTTTAGAACCTTTCAGAATGTTTTTTTTTTTAAAGCCCACCAAGTAAATCAAAATGTTTTGAGGGTAGAATCTGGGCTTTTTTCCTTCTTCTTTTTTACGGTGTGACAGGTAATTCTAATGTACTGCCCAAGAAAGAACCTTTGAGTTTGAACTAAGGCAGTGGAGCACAACCTTGACAGTCCATTAGCATCACGCATATAACTTTGACAGTTATGCCTGTGTTCCACCCCTAGAAACTCTTATTTAATTATTTTGTTTATAGTTCTCACAGAAGTAGGACCAGATATTTTGACTGGAGAATAGCTAAGTGGTACATGTAGGAAACCTGAACTCTTGGCAACAGAAATCTTAGGGAAAGCAACTCATTTATTTACTTATTACTTTTTTTTTTTAACATTCAGATGTTACTAAAGCAACTCACTTTTCCACTGTTCAAAACAAAGAAAGAAGCACAAGTATCAGACCACAGGACTCTAGAAAAAAATAGTTCTTTGAGGAAAATTCCCTCTGTCTATGACCCATAGGTTGGTCATAAGACTAATTAAAAGTATGCTCTGGGCAGTTGTTATGGAATACGATAGGTGGTAGCATAAAAAGTTTCATCGAGTAAACATATTGGTCTTTATGTTGGTATCCAGTTGCTCTGTATGCTCATATGTGTTCTATACCTTGAACCCTGGACCTGCAGTTCAGCTGCTGGGAACTTGTTAGAAATGCAAATTCTAGGGCCCACCTCAAATGTACTGGCTCAGAAACTCCAGGAATGGGGCCAAACAATCTAACAGGCCCACCAGGTGATTCTGATATACTCTAAAGGTGGAGTAACACTGCTTTAGACCTTAGTGGAAGAGAGTTGGGGAACACTCAGAGGCAAGCCACTGCTGTGACCAGCACAGCCTCTTACACACACCCTTACATCTAACCCTGCTTGGCACATAAGGAAAACTATCCTATGTATTCCATTTTCATTCATTTCAAATCATAGAAATGACTTAGATCAGAGTCATCTGTTTTTGTTACTTGACAAACATTTTAATTATAAATTTCTTTGTCATCAACGTATTTATAAATTGACTCTCAATTCCAGCATTTAGATCACCTATTATATAGGGTTTTTTGTTTTCTAAATCAGAAACGAATTTGAACAGGTAGTTAGTTCTTTTTAAATCTTTAATTACAGTTGTTTTATACTGCTTTTGTTATTAAAATTCTAAGTCTTAGAGTTAAAACAAATGTATATTTTTATAGGAATTAAAATTGTAAATGGCAGATATGTATGACTAATTAGTATTGAGTTAGGAACATTTCAAAGTAGAGTTGATAAATCAAAACTCATCTTATATAGCATGTTATCTATTGCATTCCATGCATTATTAGGTATTCATATCGTCTCTTAAATTCATTTGTAAAATTCCATTGTACTATATTTTAAGGAAGAATAGGAGAATAATATTTTTAAAATCATATTTTAACATTCTGAGGCTGGGCAGACAGCAAAAGCTAGTTTCTTCTGTAGAATTAGTCTGCTTGCCAAAGCTATATAAGTATGGTATATCTTCCAGAAAGATTCAAAAGATAAAATCTTATTACTAAATTTTATTTTTAATATTAAAAATAATTGAATTATATTGTATGATTAGTATGTTATTTCAACAATGGAGTACACACAGAGAGAACTCATTAATCTTAGTGAATTTTCTTTTTTTCTTTTTGACAGAGTCGCTCTCTGTCACCCAGGCTGGAGTGCAGTGGTGTAATCTTGGCTTATTGTAATTTCCATTTTCCAGGCTCAAGCAGTGCTCCTACCTCAGCCTCCCAAGTAGCTGAGACTAAAGGTGTGTTCCACCACACCCGGCTAATTTCCTGTATTTTTTGTAGAGACAGGGTTTTGCTACGTTGCCCAGGCTGGTCTTGAACCCATGAGCTCAAGCTGTCCGCTCGCCTCAGCCCTCTCAAAGTGCTAGGATTACAGACATGAGCCACCACAGCCAGCCCTGAATTTTCTTCTGCCACTGTTAATCATAATATTAAAATGCTGCATGTACATATTGAAATATTTATAAATAAAATTATATGATGCTTGAAATTTGCTTTGAAAATAATTTAGTAGAAGTGAGTGGATGTACAGATCAAATAAGATTGGCTATGAGTTGATGACTGCTGAAACTGGGTCACAGGAATATTTAGATTCATTATGCTACCCTTTCATTTTATATATATTTGAAATTTCCCATAATAAAAGTCTCACACACACACTCACACACAATGGTCACCTAGCAACAGGCAGAAGGAAAAGTATTCTCAAGCTTGAGAAACTAGGTCTCAGTCCTGGTCAAAGTGTGGATTAACAGATAGCAGAATAGAACCTAGAGCCAAGTAGGAAAGAATGGCAATGGGAAATGTACCAAAGGACGTCAGATAGAGGGAAGTAAGAGAAACATGCTAAGACTTGACCGATTTCCACTTCTTTTCCATGTAGGGTTCACTCCTGCGGTATCACTGTGGAAGTCTACAGTAAATAATTTAGATTATAAAGTGGATATTAATGTTTCAAAATGAATCCCATAGTTTGATTACTTCTACCATGCCAGCTAGTATCAGATACAGGATAAGAACCAAGTTGGCTATTCCCAGTTCAGAGGGCTAGAAATTAATCCTTGAGGAAAGATATATTTTTCCATACCTTTTTTTCCCAAATGTCAACTTTCTTAAACTCTTTACTTCATGTATATTTTCATTTACCTATCTATCAAGGTGGTTATACCCACTGGCTACTTATTTTCACTTTATACACACTGTGATTTATGAATGGGAGAAGAGTGCCTGTTATTTATGCTCACTAACATTTCTTCAAAAGTATATTCATAATTAATTAGGCCACATATTTGAGTTGATTAAAAAGAGTAGAATAACAGTAACTAAATTAATGTGACTAATTTTATGTGGCTTGTGGAAATCAATCTCAATGGTTCGTTTCATATATTATTCTAGTTTGGTAGCATGACAATAATTAAATTATAATTTAAAAACAACACATAACTTGTTGCATCTCCATGTGACAATATTGATGTGCCTAGGTTCCTGGGTTCCTGACCTAGTTTTTATTGCATTCCTATTATTATCCATAAGATAGCGATTCATTCAGTGACATATTTAACTGCTGAACATCGCTCCCTCCCCTTTAACTTCTACAACATGTCTTTGTAATCTGAAGTCTCCCACTATAGGTTTAATGAAGGACCACAGTAATTCGGTACTGTTTCTAAAGCCCTAAGAGCACTAATGTGCCTCTACAGTGCAGGTAGTTTGAGACAAAATACAAGAAACCCTAGAGGACTTTTAACTTGCCTTGTGATGATCCTTAGAATTAAAAATTTTAGTCACATCCAGATAAATCCTTTGGTTTATACTTAAACCTTCTAGTTCTCTAAGATTCTCTAGCATTTGTAGAACTGATCCACCTGAATATATCTATTATAAGACAAATCAAGGGTCTAGAGAGTGAAGTTGGTGGTAGCAAAGTGGGAGGGAAGGCAGAATACTTGATAGTGGAATGTGTAGTAAAAGAAAAGAGAGAAGAAGGGTGCACATGAGTAAAGTAATGAGAGTAAAATCTAGAAGGAACAGAGGGTCAAATGTGGCTTAGAGAGTCACTCAGACATTCATTTAGTCTCCTCACCCTATTATTTTTCATATATATTTCTTTCTTTCTTTTTTTTTTTTTTTTGAGACCAAATGAATCTAGTGCTGTCCCCAAGGCTGGAGTGCCGTGGTGCGATCTTGGCTCACTGCAACTTTCACCTCCCGGGTTCAAGTGATTCGCCTGCTTCAGCCTCCCAAGTAGCTGGGACTACAGGCATGTGCCACCATGCCTGGCTAATTTTTGTCTCTTTAGTAGAGACGGGGTTTCACTATATTGGCAAGGCTGGTCTCGAACTCCTGATCACAGGTGATCTGCCCACCTTGACCTCCCAAAATATTTCCCATATTTTTATAGCAGCACTTTCCTTTTTTTGTACCACAGTAGAGCAAACTTTTATATTAAAAAAATAACATGACATTATTCCCACCCACCTCCTGACCCTCCTTGATTCCTTTAAAATCTCACAGAACTGAGAGAAACATCACTGGCAATTTTCTTTCTGGTTGTGAAATGCCCTGTACAAAATAGTTCTCATTTCTCCAGGGTAGTGCTGTTAAAAGTGTAGCCTGTGAACAAGTGACAGTCCACAAATCATTAACGGTGGGATAACAAAATTGAGAAAAAACATTGAACAGAAACAAATCTTTATCGTTGAATATCAACTAATAATCATAGGAGGAAGAAGGGAATTTTTTTATTGCCCTTAGGCAAATGTTACATTTATTATTGTTGCATCAATGGATGTTAAGACTGGTGAGCAAAAGTGTGATGCAAAACAAAATATTTGCATAATCTCAGAGTGTCTCACCTTAAGATACTTATTCATTACAAAAGGAAAAACAATGAGTGAAGAAATATGGCAGCCCCATTTTAACCAAGTAATCAGTTAACATTACCAGTAAGATACATCAACATTATATGCCTCATGATACGATGTACTGGGAAGGTGAGTCAAGAAGACTACATTACTTCTGTGATATTCTTGCCAAAAGGTCTAACTTCAATTAATTACGGGGAAACATCAAAGTCAAACTGGGAGATATTCTATAAAATAACCGGTCTGGATTCATAAAAAATGTTGAAATCATAAAAGACCAATGAAATCATGAAAAACAAAGAAGGGCTGGGCTTCACAAACTGGAGGCTAAAGAGACAAGACATCTAGATGTAATATGAGACCCTGGATTAGATTCTGGAACAAAAAGTAGACACTAAAAAAATAAAAATATTTTTTTAAATTAAAAATATATAAAAACAACCAAAAGAAAGGACATTGCTGAGAAAACTGGCCAAATTTAAATAATGTCTGCAGATTAGTTGATAGTATTGTATCAGTGTTAATGTTCTAGTTGACATTTAGGAAAACTAGATGAAGGATATGCCAGAATACTAGTTTTATTAATTTTTGGAAAGTCTAAGATTATTTCAAAAGTTTTAAAGTTAAAAAAAAATCCCTCCATAATAGATTGCTGGGAAAAAGCTACTTCTTCATCACAAATAGTTTGAGAAGCACCACTTTAGCATATTGGATAAGAAGTGAATGACTGAGGGCTGAAAGCACATAAAATTATTTTTAAAATTTGATTTGGGACATAAGAGATTTGGTTTTTGACTCATCACCAAATATTAAAATTACTGCATTTCAATAATGAAATGGGACAACTCAGAAAAATATGGAGCAGTATTATCACATTATTATAAACTAATGACCTACAAAGAGATCTTTTACATGTTTTTTCTTAAATAATACACTGAATATTGCCATGAAGAAGACTTGAAGATAATTTGAGGAGGTGGTATAAAAACCATTTTTTTCTAAATGACCCTCAATATTTTGTAAAGGCATTACCTTTTCTGTTGAGTGAAGAAGATGAAAAACATCAGCATACTCAAATCCTTCATTTTCATGTAAGTCTTTCTGTAACACATCATTCCCTAGGACAATGCATGCCAAGGAAAATGCCACTTCAACCTAAATATATGATTTTCAGAAATTATTTTTCACTTAGCTTTATGAAATTACACATTTCATTGTGCAGGCATTTATATAGGATACATTGTGGAAAGATACTATAAAATCTGATAAAATATAATCCATTGATTCCAGTTATCTTACTAGTGAAATAGCTGCACTTAACAACTCCCTCATAATTTTTAACAGCTGAGAAGATATTCTTTCTCTCTGTGTTCAGAGACCAACCACAGAGGTCCATTTGAGGGCACTGGAGAAGGGAATAAAGGCCAACAAAGTATGTAAAAAGGTATTATTTTAAGTGCATAGTTGTATCCCTTCCATATTTTAAAAAAAGTTTTAATTTTTTGACATGGATTAAAAAGCTATTTTGAACTGCTTGTTAACTACTGATCATTGAGTTGTAAGGCTTTGATGCAGCACCTATTAATTTAAGCAAAGCTTTGGGGAGTAGTACTAAGGAATAGTACTGCTATTTTTTCCTCCTCTAGTTCTGGAACCATTTAATGCACATTCTGAAGCCCATTAGGAAGCTGAATCTTGTATATTATTGGGACTTAGATAGGTTTTTAAAGTGCTATACTATGCATTTATATGAAAAACATTATGACTTTGAAAAATATGATTACTGAATTATTGCAAAACATTTTGTCCATTATAGAATCTTATTTTGAGAAAAAGTATTGAAATATGTTTACGGTCTATTTAAACAAAGTTCAGAACTCATTGAAAATATGCACTGAAATATAGATGGATACTTTTTTCTGATAACAAACACGTTTGTTTTAAAAAATGCACCAAATGTGGTGGCTCAATCCTATAATCCCATCACTTTGGGAGGCCAAAGTAAGAGGATCTCTTGAGCCCAAGAGTTCAAGAACAACCTTTGCAAAATGGCGGAACTCCATCTCCAAAAAAAATACAAAAAATTAGCCAGGCGTGGTGATGCACTCTTGTAGTCGCAGCTACTCAGTGGGCTGAGGTGGGAGGATCACCTTACCCAGGAGGCAGAGGCTGCAGTGAGCCAAGATTGCACTACTGCACTCTAGCCTGGCTGACAGAGTGAGAGACCCCATCTCAATTTAAATAAATAAATAAAGATTAAAAAGAGAAACAGCCTGGGTACAGTGGCTCATACCTGTAATCCCAGCACTTTGGGAGGCCGAGGCAGGCAGATCACTTTAGGTCAGGCGTTCAAGACCAGCCTGGCCAACATGGTGAAACTCCATCTCTACAAAAATATAAAAATTAGCCAGGCGTTGTGGTACACACGTGTAATCCCCGCTACTCAGGAGGCTGACACAGGAGAATTACTTGAACCCAGGAGGTGGAGGATGCAGTGAGCTGAGATGGCACCAATGCACTCCATCCAGCCTGGGCAATAGAGCGAGATTCTGTCTCAAAAAAAAAAAAAGGTATTTACTTAGATATTGTTCACCTATGTTACTCTATTTTCTCATCTCTAACAGTGTACATACCAAATTTTGAAGATAAAATAATTTTTTGCTGTTATAATTTCTTGCCTAGCTAACTATAGATGTCCTGAATTTTTAAAGCCTGGTTAAAACTATTTGAATAGATGTGAATGTCATTTTATTAAAGGCATTTTAGTGGAAGTAAATGGAAGACTGAATGAACCCCAACAACTCACAGTAATTCTTTGTAATGTCCTGCCTTTAAAACTATTACTTCCAGCCAGCAAAGGCTGTTTGGCAGCAGGCAGGGCTGGTTTGAGGTATAGTACTGACAAGATTCACTAATATTTGAGAAATATTGCCATATAAGTCACACATTCCCATTATCCCTGCCCAGTTTTAGCAACCGATGTCTGGGGAGGTAGGGAAGAAGTTCTGTAAATAAATAATCAAATATCTGAGGTAAAAACTTCTTTGAAGAGTAAAAACATAAAATTTTCTTGTCATATTTGAGGAAATTCTCTTTTAATAAAATTTACTAGTTATCTTATGGTTTGAAGCAACCTTTTTGTTTAAAACTTCTAGGATTTTGTTTATTTTTATTTTTGGCTTATTTCTCCAAGAAAAATAGGATTTAGTCTAAAAGATTAAATATTTTTACATTTATGAACTTGCATAAAGATACAAAGTTTTCTTTAAAATTATATTTTTGCTAATTTTTATCATATCAGAAAAAAAAGTAAACCTTTATATATACCTTAATGTTAGGAGAAGGGTGATTTCTTAGCAGTTGGATAAGTATTGGAAAGGCATTTTCATCTATAATATACTGATATCCTTTAGATGCTCCATAATGCATTTGTTTTTTTATGTATTATCAATTAATCATCTCTCTATTAAAGTCTTATTGTTCATACCAACTTCTATACTCACTTTATATCAATTTATGTCAAATATATTATTTTATTGTTATGAGTATTTTCTTCTTCATTTAATCATCTAATTATTTATTTATTCAATGCATATTTATTAAATAGCTACTATGTGCTAGACACTGTCCCAGGCACCAGGGAAAAAATGGTGAACCAATAAAACAAGGTTCCTTGTGGAACAAAAGGAAAGGCCAAAGTAAAGAACATAGCAATAAGTTCAATATTACTTGACAGTTACATCAGAGGGGAGTGACAGGAAGGTCATTTCCTCTTGAAGTAGGAAAGTAAAAAGGGCTTATAGGCCATGCTGGAAATGTGGACCATATCCTAGGTGATAGACAGTCACTGAGTAACTTAAACAAGAAGATATAATCAACTTTACATTTTAGATAGATCACTCAAGTAACACTTCGAATGTTAACCCTTAAAGATTAATAAAATTAAGAGAATGTGGGGAAAACCATTCTTTCTCTTACCCTGCATCAGTACAAAAAGTAGAAATTCCTCCACCCCTGGCAAACTCAGAAGTATTAAGAATAAAAGTTTACTCCTTATTCATCCTTCCTTATGAGAAGAGTAGTGAGTTACCTAATTTTTTAGTTTGAAGAATGAGTCATTGCAAATGCATGGTTTAGGTTCTTTTTGGCACTTTTTGTTATTTTCTTGGAGCAAGCTTTCCAACAATAAGGCTGAAGTTTTGATCTCTATTTGTTTCCTGTCTGTTTCTCATCTGGACCCAAATTCTGAAAGGAGTGAAGTGTCTTTACTTGGCTCTTCGGTAATCCAAACTAGCTCTAAAGCTCAGGAAAGACATTGAGGATGTGGATAAAGAACTGGGAAGAGGCCGGGCGCTGTGGCTCACGAGTGTCATCCCAACACTCTGGAAGGCCAAGGTGGGCGAGGTCAGTTCAAAAGCAGCCTTGCCAACATGGTGAAGCCCCGTATCTACTTAAAAACTACAAAAATTAGCCAGGTGTGGTGGTGCATGCCTGTAATTCCAGTTACTCAGGAACCTGAGGCAGGAGAATTGCTTGAACCCGGGAGGCAGAGGTTGTAGTGAGCTGAGATTGTGCCATTGCACTCCAGCCTGGACAACAGAGTGAGACTCCATCTCAAATTAATAAATAAATAAATAATAAATTAATAAATAGAACTGTTTCTACATAGTTTAGCAGTTAGAAAACATACATTTGTGTTTTCGATATTTAGGTTACATTACACATGTTTAGATCTATTCAAAGATAGATTCAGGACATCTATTCATATATGACAAGTCCAAATCCATATTTCCTTCACTTAATATATCTGGTCACTATAAAATAATACAGAGATAGAGCTCACCTGAATCAGAACTCAGAAATCTGGTAAGATATGGGAGGCCTTTATGTTCTCTCACAGCTCTTTGATTGTTTTCATTTCCTATGCATAATACCTGTATACAGTTCATTACATTTACTAGCACACTTTCTATGATTAAGTTCAAGAGATTTATCAGACTTGGGATTCCATTCTAAAAATAAACCAAAAAAAAAAGAAAGAAATATTTGCCATTATAGATACTTCACTGGTAATTGGTAAACAGCAAGAAGTAATCAACATATGCTAACTTAAGAAAATACTCTGTTATCTACTTCTTGACTGCACTCAAATGCCAACTTCTCAGAGGAATATTTTTCATCAGGCTCCCTCTCCCTCCCTTTTTCCTGCTGTATCCTTCCCTGAGAGTTTTGTCACTGAATAATAACATGGGTTTCTATTTTTGTAACTTCTATATGAGGGAGTTATTTATTATTAAAAATAATGGTCTATAAAAGAACTTACATATTTGGCAATAACATTCTTGTTTTTACATTGAGCAATATCATATAGAATGACAGCACAGTGAGAGTTTAGTTCAGGCTCATCACAAACCAGTAGGTTGATTAGAGATGGAATGCCTCCTGCTTCCACCAAAGCATGCACTACACTTTTGTGGGTTGAGATATTTCTTAATAACCCGACAGTTTTGCACTGCAGTTTTATTTTGGAACTTTTTAATAGATTGATTAAGGCAGGAATGGTGCCTGTAATGAAAAGAGCAATAAAGAAAAAAACATAAATTATTGGTAACCATTCGTGATCAATATACCATGGTAATATTTAAATAATATTTGTGGATATTGCCATATAAACAGTTAGCAAATAATTTCATAAACTATTTATTAAATTATTTGAAACTACATGAAGAAACCTTCCGTCTTGTCTTTGGCATGGGCAGCTCTCATTGTTCATACATTTGATTTTCCTGTAGCACAATTATACATTTTATATTAGTAACCTTATGCCATCTTTGAAACACTGAATTCTGGCTTAAGATTATTGATAAATTATTTGTGCTATGACATTGTAGAGTTCAGTTTTGGTTACTGCATCAACTTTGTATGACACTGATATAGCAATTATTTGAGCATTTTATTATAATTTATTCTTATTTTATACCAGCATGTGAAAAACAAAAAGCTGAATCTAGTAAAAATGCAACATCAGTGTCAATTACAATTGGCTCAAAGATGAAAATCGTTGGGTATAGTAAAAATAGAAAATCTGGCTTCAGTTGGATGCCTGTTTTACTTATATTAACTCAATGAAAAACAGAAAGCACATTATAGGACACACACAAAATGCTAGAAAATATAATAGGTATAAAAAAACCTTATTTATTTGGCTACCTGAAATAAAATATCCCTCATTACTTCTTTAAGTCTATAGTTCACCTTTTGGATATAGAGCTTTTTGTACATGTTTTCAGGAATATATTAGGGAACCACCTACAATCAAATTTTAATTTATTCATATAATATTTATGGAGCATCTCATGTGCGTTCAATGAGTACATTACGGTAGTGGCTACCATATTGGACATTTTCAAATAGAACATTTTCCATATATATGTATGTTTGTGTGTGTGTATAGACAGACAGAAAGATAGGTAGACAGATATAGATATGGACAGGGTCTCACTAAGTTGCTTAGGCTGGTCTCAAACTCCTGGGCTCAAGCTATCCTCCTGCCTTGGCCTCTCAGAGTGCTGGGATTACAAGCATGAACCATCGTGCCTAGCTGAACATTTTCATCATTTCAGTAAGTTATTCTGGACAATGCTATTCTCAAAACAATCCTATGGGGTGGAGCCATTTTATTAGTGAATAAACTAAACTAAGAGAGGTTAAGCAATTATCTTAAGTTCTAAATGCAGAGCTAGTTACAAACCAGGCCTGACATTAAATCTGCTATTTATAATTTCAAAAGTAAATTGTGCAGATTACATACTAGGAATAATTTCTAAATAAAAGTAAAAATAAGAGTAGTATGGTAAAGTAATTTAATACTTAAATTATTACTTAACATCAGTTTTTAATTTTGTGAGCTTTTAAAAGAATAGAATTTATATAGTTTTTTGATCCTATGAAGCTTCCATGTGGAAAATAAAACATTGTTGACAGGTAAATGAAGTAATCTGAGCAAAAGAAACCTAAAATCAACTAAAATTTTTCCTTTACAATTAAAAATATATTTTAAAATGACTGCTGACTAAAATAGCATTACATAAAATAGCATTAAAAATAATTAGAGTTTGCATCACCTGCATCCAAAATACATCTCCAGTATTGATCATTTGCTAAGCAAATTACTTCCAAGGACATGACAGCCATCATCCTTCGTTTATAGCTTTCACACTGTAACATTTCTGTTAAGAGTTCAACAGAAAAACACAGCTGTAATTTACACAAGAGGCAATGAAATGCTTAATTCTGTTTTTGCACCAGCTAAGTAAAACCAAGGGTTGAGGTCACGAGTATTACCACCAAATGCATGGATTAAATTCCCCTCTCTGCATGGTTCCCTGTGAATTACTCACAAATTCCATCAGCCCGTGATCTTTGAGGTTTATAGTCTACATAATTAATGAAAAAATTCTGAAATTTCTTTTTTTTTGAGATGGGGTCTCAGTCTGTTGCCCAGGCGGGAGTGCAATGGCATAATCGCAGCTCACTGCTGCCTGGATCTCCCTGGGCTCAGGTGATCTACCATCTCAGCCTCTCTAGTAGCTCAGACTACAGGCATGCACTACCACACCCGGCTAATTTTTATATTTTTTGCACGGACAGCATTTTGCGATGTTGCCCAGGCTGGTCTCAAACTCTTGGGCTCAAGCAATTCCCCTCTCTTGGCCTCCTAAAGTGCTAGGATTACAGGCATGAGCCACTGTGCCTAGCCAAAATTTTTCATCTTTGGTCCGAATAGCTTAGGTTGGCTGGTCACATACTTCAAATTTCCTTGGAAAATAGTACATCTCTCTCTTGTCTAAAATAAGCTGTTAAATAAAATTTCAATGTGGGTTTTCAAGAATAGCAACGTAATCTATAGTACTGTTAATAAAAATCTAATATCCATTAAATTAGAAATTAGGCTTTATACATTTCCTCAGTATGAAAAAGATACTTTAAATACAATCTTGGGGGAAGTTTTACTACAGACAGAAGATATTACAAATATACATGTCTATTGTGCTAGAAAAGATACACAGACCATCTTTTCCTCATTAGAAAAGGTACACAGACTATCTTTTCCTCATTAGAAAAGACACACAGCCTATCTTTTCCTCATGTCTTTAGCCAGCTACTCTACTACCAAATCTATCCTGAATCTACCTTGGCTACATTACTCTGTGGCATTCTCTTAAAATTCAGCTTCTACTCCAAGAGCTAATCCTGAGACCTCTAATTAACTGATTTTTCTTTTATGCATAGTGGAAATGGGCAGTGTGAGGAAGGAGAGCTATTGCAGGGCCAAGGCAAAACAGCAGTGGCCAGACGCTCACTGTTGTCTGTTCTTTGTGTCATTGTCAGGACTTCTCCACAATGGCTGTAGGAAGCAGCAGCTCTGGTGAATTTTTATGTTCTTTTAGGTCATTCCTGTTAGGGGCCAGAGCTTCCCACTATTAAGGTAGGTGTTTACAATGATTTAGTCTAGTAAAAGTAACAGGATAGTCCTCTCACTTCCTCCTAACAATACTACAAAATGATTTAAATGCACACAAATAAATATTAAAAACACTTTCCAATATCTCTTGGAGCTTGTATCCAGTATTTGGGATATGTTCCCAGTACCCACTAAATTCCAAGATCAGGTATTGAGCCAGTTTATAACCGAATATACAGACTTCTTGAATCAGTAGAATGGGGTTGAAAATCTTAAACATATCTTATCCGATCCTAAAATGAGTTGTTGGAAAAAAATCAGTTCTCATTCTCCAATTAATTTCTCTCTTTTGGCTTAAATTCATTTTTTATTTATATCAAATTAAGCATGTGCATGATTCAGAGTTAAATGTTACTAAAAGATCTATAACAAAACTTAGTAATTCTTGGCTCCACCCTCCCCACTGTTCTGGGTTCATCTCTCCATATACAGTTTGGACTCCTCCCTATACCTTCTATGATTTATAAATTTCCTTATTTCTACATATTTACATACACTGCTGTGTTTTGCTACATTGATTTGGACTTCATTGACTGACTTCATATTATGAAAAATGGGAAATTAACTCTTTCAACACTGCTCTGCTCTTTCCTCTCACTTTCCTCTCTCTGTATTTATAGCTTTTTGTTGAATCAGTATTAGGTACTTATATGATGATGTCTCTACATTATTCACAGCTGAGGACTGTAATGTACTATGGTTGTGTCTCATTTCTTATTTTTGTTTTTTTAAAAATAATTTCCTTATTTTACAATAGTTCCCCCCTTATCTGCAGAAGACACATTCCAGAACCCCCAGTGGATGCCTGAAACTGTAAATAGTACTGAACCCTGTATATACTATGTTTTTTTCTTGACAGATGCTTCTCAACTTATGATTGGTTATGTCCTGATAAACTCATTGTAAGTTGAAAATACCATAAATTGAAAATACATTTATAAACCTAATCTGCCAAACAGCATAGCTTACCTAGCTTAACTTAAATGAGCTTGGAATATTACTAGCTTAACTTAAATGTGCTTGGAATATTTACATTAGCCTACAGCTTGGCCAAATGATCTAACACAAAGCCTATTTTATAATAGAGTGTTTAATAACTCATGTAATTTATTGAATATTGTACTAAAAGTTAAAAACAAAATGGTTGTATGGGGACTGTAACTGCAGTTTCTTCTGAATGTGCATCACTTTTGCATGACTGTAGAGTAAAAAACCGTAAGTCAAACCAGACTGTCTGAACATACACCCATCTATAATAAAGTCTGTAGGCATAGTAATAGCTTAACAACAACTAATAATAGATTACAACAATATATATTAATAAAAGTTATATGAATGTGCTCTATCCCTCTGTCTCAAAGTATCTTATTGTACAGTACTGCAGGGAACCAAAACCACCAAAAGATAAGCCGCTGAGAAGGCGAGACTGCTGTATTTCATCTGCTTAATTTTCCTTTTACCTACTGATAATTCCTTCCATCTTTTTCCTCTAGACTGGATACACAGTTCCATTGTGGAACTTCCCTTTGCTATCTTCCTTGAAATTCCCTATGCTTTACGCATGGGTAAGACTCCTAGTTTCCTGAGTCTCTCTCCTTTCTACTTATTGGGGAGAATTCTAGCCTTGACATCTTTAGGTCTTGCCAAGTTAGGCTCTGAGGAGAGCATTCCTGATGGGCACTGCCAATTCTCAAGCCTTTTGAGGATTTATGTGTGAGTCTAAGGGGTTCTCAGCTTTTTAGGCTTAGTCCTAAGCCCTGCCTGACTGTTTCCATCTTCCAGTATTTTATTGCTGTTGTATCCTTTCTTGTTTTTCCATGCTTATCTGCTGCTGGTGGTATTATTATTGTTTAATCACCATGTAATTTTAGTGAGGGTCATTAAAGGGAGTAAAATTAGATATGTCCATATAAGTGGCCTAGTAACTTACCCTTATTTTGGCTAGACTGAATGCAAATTTGAAAGAAAAAAAAAAACTCAGGTGGAATTTTTCACAAAACATTTGTCAAAATATAACAAAAGATTTTGCTAAATTTGTCTCTACAATTGGGAGGCAAGAATAAATTGGAGGGAATGTTTTTCACTTAAAATTTCCTCTTTCCTTTTTCTTAATGAAGGAGATGTTTCAACTTTTGGAGAAAGTTGGAAAATAAAAATAAATGTAGTTGTGTAAAATACAGTCTGTTTGGGTCACATCTTTGATTTTAACTTGGAAATAAAACTATGTTTGCACACACAAAAATTTAGCTCTTTATTATTTGTATTTTTATTTCTAGTTTTAATTAATAAAATGTTTATTTCATGATTTTTAAATATTTAAAATATAATGCATATGTTTTCTTTGTTTCAGAGTATCAATAATTAAACTAAATAATAATCAGAACATGTATTTATAAAGAGATTATACTCACCTACCAAAGTTTTCCACCCTGGGAGTTCAGGAATATTTAACTTTATTATATATTTGAGAACCTCTGTGTGAAAAGTTAACACTGATAAATGGATTATATTATTTCCTTTAATATCTGTTTTTCTCCAGTTAGCACTGACAGAAAACAGGCACTGAATACTATCCAGTGCTCCTGAAGTGGCAGCAAGTAACAGCGGAGTGCACTGATTCCTAAAAATTAAGAAACATGCTGTAACAAGAAAAAACACACATATAGTGTCAAATTTGCTTTTTGTAAAAGTATTCAAATTGCAATTGGAGTAAGTCTGACTGACACTACCACCTTCTGGTCTTAGGAATTCCCATCTTCTGTATTCTACACGTAAATGAATTTGCCCCTTTGCCATGCCATCCTTAGTATGGGTCCCTACCCACCTTTCCAACTTAATTATCATGACTTAAAATTTGTTTGGAAGATGATAATGCACAAAGTTCTTACAATACCCTATCCTATCTAAGTCTTACAACTACTCTGTAAGTGAAGGAAAAAGCAAAGCAAGTATTATCAGTCCATTTTATAAACGATGTAACTGAAGCTCAGAAATTAGTTACACCCATTACTTCATGTCCAGTTTTCAAATCCCAGCTTATTCATTGTGGCAAAAACTAAGAGTTTTGCTCAAAAACTCTTATCTGATTTTTAGATAGTGAAGATCTTTTCTTTGGTTATCCATTTCCCAGCTTCTTCTTCTTCTTTTTTTTTTTTTTTTTTTTGAGATGGAGTCTCACTCTGTTGCCCAGGCTGTAGTACAGTGGTACAATGTCAGCTCACTGCAGCCTCTGCCTCCCCAGTTCAAGTGACTCTCACCCCTCAGCCTCCAGAAGAGCTAGGATTATGAGCATGTACCATCGTGCCTAGCTAATTTTTGTATTTTTAGTAGAGAGGGGGTTTTGCTATGTTATCCAGGCTGGTCTCAAACTCCTGACTTCAAGTGATCTGCCTGCCTTGGCCTCCCAAAGTGCTGGTATTATAGGTGTGAGCCACTGTACCTGGCCTCTTCTTTCTTCTCATAGCTACAATGTAGACATTATGGTGAAAGTGGGACTTGGCATCTGAGGGACACCTGCCTCCTCTGGTGGATTCCACATATTAAATGTGTCAAGAAGAAGCTGGTGTCCCTCATACTAACAAGCCATTATGCTAGCCCTAGACCACTGAATAATAGTGGACAGGTTATTAGAAAACCTAAAAAACCTGAATGAAAGTAGCTCTAAATCAGGCTCAGAGATCCAAAATAATAACCTGGCTTTAGATTTCCAGCCAAGAATGTACTTTCTGGAGAAGTTACACCTATATCCTAAATGCTGATCCATAGCTAAATTGTAAAACAAAAGACTGTTGGTTTTTTTTTTAATTTCAAAGTTATTTTACTCTTTTTAATGTATTTCTCTTCCAAATAGCACTAGATAGTTCTCCTGTAATCCAAAACCTATCCCATTTGATCTGAAGTCCTAGGGCTGCCATCTGGTTGTGTAGGATCCAGTGTAGAGCAATTCTCCCCTCCCTAGTCTCAGGCTTCTCCAGGGCACTGAGTAAAACATTTAACATGAAAAATTAATCTGCAGAACCATACTATTGGAACAAGATTAGGAACAACTCCCTAGGAATTAGTCCTTATTCTTTCAGAAAACATGCATAGGTTGATAGAAGCTCTTGTCTTTTTAAATTCTAGAGACAGTGAGTAGAAAGGATAGCAGAGTAAACTTTACATATCTTTCAAATTACCCATGCCAATCACCTTTTAGTGGCAGTGTGTTCGGCAAGCCATGAAAAGCAGAACTTTATATTTGATTTAATTTTCTTTCTTCTTGTTTTTTTATTATTGCCTAGACATGAACCTTAACCTGATATAAGTGCTTAATGACTTACTCAGCTGTTGCCTCAGCTTCTAGCAAACCAGGATCCTTCCTACAGAGAGCAATAATGACGCAAATGTTGTCATAGAAAGCCGCAAAGTGAATCGGCATCCAGCCTCTTTTTTCAGAAAGCGTGTAATCAGCTTTGAAACAGAGTAGACAGACTGATGTTTCTAATGAGCAAGCCTGTGCGGCAAGGTGTAGAGGTGTTGGACCTAGAACGGTTGGACAATTACTACAGTGATCAAAGCACTAACATTCCTAAAAAAGCCTAAATGCCTTATTGCTATCCAAGCACAGAGCTTAGTATTGTATAATATAAAATCTCCAAAGTAAGCATTAAAAAAATACTTAGGTAACCCTATATTCCTTTATTTAACTCGTGATATCCAACCATTAAAAATCCATACTTAGAAACAAAACCCAAAATTTTTTTAAAAATCCAAACTTCTTTATAAGCAAAGAAAAATGAGTAACATTTAAAATATTAAATATTTGAAAAAATAAAATGTTAAATATTTGAAAATTTAAGTCAATATGTACAACAGTCTTACGGTAAATTATTTCTTGTTTATTTTCCATTTGACTCAAGTATTTTAGTAGAGGATAAGAGCCTTTCAAATTGAAAAACATATAGATTTTCACAAAGGCCTCTATTTCACTAAATCCAATGGGCACTTTTCTTTTATTTTTTTCCATTGTATATAGGTCTTTATAATTTGAGTAGATTCCCAAAAATGGGCCAGGTACGATGGCTGGTGCCTGTAATCCCAGCACTTTGGGAGGCCAGGGCAGGTGGATCACCTGAGGTCAGGAGTTCAAGACCAGCCTGGAGAGAACCTGGTGAAATTCCGTCTCTACTAAAAATACAAAAAAAAGAAAAAGAAAATTTAACTGGGCATGGTGGTGCATGCCTGTAGTCCTAGCTACTCAGGAGGCTGAGGCAGGAGAATTGCTTGAGCCCAAGAGGCAGAGGTTGTAGTGAGCCAAGATTGTGCCACTGCACAACAGAGCAAGACAACAGAGCAAGACTCTACCTCAAAAAGAAAAAAAAAAAAATCCCAAAAATGGGAGTTGCTGGGTGAAAGTATATAATTATCCATAGCATCATTATTACCAGTAATATATATTGCAAAATTATTCTCCCAAACCATAATAGCAATTCATACCTTTACCACCTGATATGGGGGTTTTGCTCTGTGGCCTCACCCAAATCTCATCCTGAATTGTAATCCCCACATATCGAAGGAGAAAGGTAACTGGATCACAAGGACAGTTCCCCCATGCTGTTGTAATGATAGCAAGTAAACTGTCACATGAGTGCAACTGTCATTTTTCAATTTTCACCTTAGTTATTTCTCAATAACATTTTACACCATGGTCCACTTCTTCCTATTTCAAATAATTTCTTCTCTTGGCTTTTGTGATATCACACTCCCAATTTTTGTCTAACCTTACTGGTTACTTCTTGGCAGTCTCCTTTGGAACCTTCTCATTGTCCTAATATCCAAATGAGCTTTAAGGCTCAATCTTGGGCCTTTTTATCTTCTCAGTAACTTTGCTTACCATATACAAATTGATGACTCCAAGGATTATAGCTCTAGATCTGATTTCTTCTGATTTGCAGATCTGTATCTTTGACATCTCGTAAAGCGTCTTCACACTTCCCCTCAAACTTAATGTATTAAATATTGAACTTCTGTCCTTACCTCCAAACCTGGTCCTCTTTTATTGCTTCCTAAATCAGTGAGAGAGATCATGATCCAGCCAGTTCTACAGACCACAAATCTAGAAGACTCTTTGGCACCTCCCTCTCATTTTCTTCTCCATAACTAGCCCATCCCCAAGTCTAAATATCTCTAGAACCCATCTCTACCACCATCACCATCCTAATCCAAGCCATAATCATCTCCCAACTGCTATTTCCACCTTGTTTTGCCCTTATCCAATCCAGTTTTTCAGAACGTAAATCTGATCTTTTCATTTCCTTGCTCAATGGCTTCTCAAGGCCATCTGTTTATGAGGAACAATGACACAATTCACTGGCTCCAACTTAACTTGAAACACCAGCTACGAGTACCTTCTTCACCTACCTCCCAATAAAACCATCCACACATTGTTCTCTTCATTCTGACTTTCTTGTAGCTCCCCAAATGTAGTAAAATTACACATCCCAGGTTACCCAGGAAAGTACTGGCCAATGCCTGTTGCACCAGCATAATTATTAATAGTGCCCTTTCACTTTTCAAGTCTCCCTGATTCTGATGGTGAATTATCTTGTCACCCTGGGCTATTCCTGCTCTCTGACACCTTCCGTCTCCCCAACAATTTCTCCCTTATCAGGATCTAGCTAACTCCTATTCATTTCGCAATTTAAATAATATTTTCTCAATGAAGCACTGTTTTCATGAAATCTCTCACATCAGAAACCTCCAGTGTCCTCCTACCTGCCTTCATAGTTGGAGCTTGATAGTATAGCCTTGAAAATCAGACCCAAATCTATTTATTTAAAATTATTGTTTAGTCTTCCAGTTTCTTCAAAGAAGAAAATTATTGTTTAGTCTACCAGTTTCTGGTCTGGCATTTAAGGAGCTTCGATGTCACCACTTCGTCCTAACAACAAGTAAAAAGCTGAACCAACCCTAAAGAAATCAACAACCCTTAAGTTCATCAGAGAATTGAGGTAACAGGCTAACTGATTTCCTCAAAATTGGAGAGACAGGTGGATTCAGAGAATCATAACTTAGTAGAGCAGAAATTCACAAGCAGAAACTTCCTAAGGAATCATTACTGGGGTAAGAAAACCTTAACATTAATTTACAATTGCTAGCTCAGTGTGGACAAGGATGAGAGTTTAAAACTCTAGTAAGACTCATCATAGTGAGGCCCCATGCTTTCATGTGTTTTACCTCTAGGAGTTTTATCAGGTCCTCACAGTGCATATTAAAGAAAAATCCCTTCATACTTCCAGCCGTGGGAGGGAGAAAAAGAACCATTCTGAAATGGGCATTCTGTTCTGAACAAGGCCTGCTCTCAGGAGAAACTGCTTTACCAGAGCCTAACCTATTGGGCTTTTATCAGAGCCTAAGCTACCTAGGGAAGGGAAATGCCCAACTCCAGTCACCTCTAATCATCCTGCCTGGCCAGGGACATGGGGAGAGGACTGAGAAGAACTGGTGAAGTTCAAAGTAGAGGGATGCAGGCTCACCAAGAGACTGACATAGAATGCTTTACCCCCCATACCTCACCATTACATTGTTAAAGGCCATTTAACTATGGTTCCTTTTACCCAGTATATCATGTTCTGCTATCAAGAAAAATTTACAAGTATATTAAAAAGCAAAAAAACACAGTTTAAAGAGATAGAGCAAGCATCAGAACTAGACATGGCAGGGATTAAGACAACAATGATTTATTTTGTTGTTTAAAATTTAAAACAACAATGATTAATGTGCTAAGGGTTCTAATGGATAAAGCAGCCTCCAAGAACAGATGGGCACAGATGGGCAATCTAAGCAGAGATGGAAATCCTAAGAAAGAACCAAAATGATATGCTACAGATAAAAAACACCGTAAAGGAAAAGAAGAATGTCATTAATAGGCTTATAAAGACATTGGACACAACTGAGGAAGGAATCTCTAATCTTGAAGATATATCAGTAGAATCCTCCAGGCCAGGTACAGTGGCTCACACTTGTAATTGTAACATTTTGGGAAGCCAAGCAGGGAGGATTGCTTGAGTCCAAGAGTCTGAGACCAGCGTGGGCAACATAGTGAGACCTCATCTCTGTAAAAAATAAAATTAGCCAGATATGGTGGCATATGCCTGTAGTTCCAGCTACTTGGGAGGCTGAGGTGGGAGGGTCACTTGAATATGGAAGGTGGAGGCTAGAGTAAGCTGAGATCATGCTATTACACTCCAGCCTGGGAAACAAATACCTTATCTCAAAAATAAAAATAAATTTAAAAGGTTAGGTAAAATAAGAAAAGAAAGAGAAGAGATAAAGGAAAAGAAGAAATATTTAAAACAATAATGATTGAGAATTTTTCCATATTAATGTGACATATCAAACCACAGGTTCAGGAAACTCAGAGAACACCAAGCCAAATGAATGCCAAAAAAAAACAAACAACATACAAAAAATGACATCGAGGCATATCATTTCCAAATTACAGAAAAACAAACATAAAGAAAGTCATCCTATTTATTACAGCACTATTAACAAAAGCCAAGATTTGGAAGCAACCTAAGTGTCCATCAACAGAGGAATGGATAAAGAAAATGTGTCCATTCAAGTGGATATACAATGGAGTAGGATTCAGCCATGAAAAAGAATGAAACCCTACCATTTGCAACAACATGGATGGAATTGGAGGCCATTATGTTAAGTGAAATAAGTCAGTCACAGAAAGACAAACTTTGCCTGTTCTCACTTATTTGTGGGAGCATAAAAATTAAAACAATTGAACTCATGAAAATACAGAGTAGAATGATTGTTACCAGAAGCTGAGAAGGGTAGTGGGGGGAAGTGGGGTTGGTTAATGGGTAAAAAAGAGAAAGAATGAACAAGACCTAGTATTTTCTAGCATAACAGGGTGACTATAGTAAAAAAAATTAATTGCATATTTTAAAATAACTAAGAGTATAGTTGGATTATTTGTAACACAAATAAAGGATAAATGCTTTAGGTGATGGATACTGTACTTTGCTGTGACTATTATGCATTGCATGCCTGTATCCAAAAGTCCCATGGACCTCAAGTATATATGCCTACTATGTACACACAGGAATTAAAACTTATTTTAAAAAGAAAATCCCAAAAGAAGCCAGAGGAAAACACATTACTTATGGAGATGCAAAAATAAGAATTATACCCGATTTCTCCTCAGAAACTATGCAAGCAAGAAGTTAGTGGAGGAAAATAAAGTGTTGAGATAATGGAACCCCTAACCTAGAATTCTAGGTTAGTGAATGATAGGTGGGAAGAATTAGGAATATTTTGTTATTATAAGGTACCTGTACTGCCTGTGACATGGCTTAGTGTTATTTGAAGGTAGACTTGGAATAATTGTAAATGAATGTTATAAAGTGTAGGGCAATCACTAACAAAAATTTAGAAAGAAGTACAATGAATATGCTAAGAAGAAAACCATAAAAAGGAAAAAGAAGCTGATAAGCTGGCTGAGGAGCATTAATCATGAGAGGCCCTTGTGGCAAACTAAGCACGTGTCCTCTGTACTGTCCCTCTCCTTGCCCCTAATCTGGAAAGCTTCAGTTTTCTATGTAGACTACATAAGAGCCTTGGTTGAAGACATGTTCTGTCTGAAGAGTATTTAAGGTTTCCAATAAAATGTACAGCCCTCAAAAAAAATTTCTTGAGCACCTATAAAGGCCAAGCATTTTTCTGGGTGCTAGGGAACTGTGGCTAACAAAATAGACCAAATTCTTGTCCTTTATGGAGCTTATATTCAAGTGAGAGAGACTAACTAAATAAATAAATACATTTATATAAGGTAGGCCTAAGTGATACTTAGAAAAGAAAAAGAGAGGCTGGGTGCAGTGGCTCACACCTGTAATCCCAGCACTTTGGGAGGCTGAGGTGGAGGATCACGAGATCAGGAGATTGAGACCATCCTGGCTAACACAGTGAAAACCCATCTCTACTAAAAATACAAAGAAGTTAGCCAGGTGTGGTGGCACGCACCTACTTTCCCAGCTACTAGTGAAGCTGAGGCAGGAGAATCACTTGAACCTGGGAGGCAAAGGTTGCAGTGAGCTGAGATTGTACCACTGTACTCCAGCCTGGGCAACAGAACGAGACTCTGTCAAAAAAAAAAAAGAAAGAAAGAAAGAGAGAGAGAGAGGACACACAAAAGAAAGAAAGAAGGAAGAAAAAAAGAAAAGAAAAGAAACAGAAAGAAAAGAAAAGAAAGAGAGCAATAATGTAGGAGGCACACCATTGTTACTCAACTGGAAATTTCTACAGTGTGGATGGAAGTAACACCTCACATCTACAACCAACTGATCTTTGACAAACCTGACAAAAACAAGCAATGGGGAAAGGATTCTCTGTTTAATAAATGGTGCTGGCAAAACTGGCTAGCCATATGCAGAAAGCTGAAACTGGACACCTTCCTTACACCTTACACTAAAATTAACTCCAGATAGATTAAAGATTTAAACCTAAAACCATAAAAACCCTAGAAGAAAACCTAGGCAAAACCATTCAGGACATAGGCATAGGCAAGGACTTCATGACTAAAAAACCAAAAGCAATGGTAACAAAAGCCAAAATACACAAATGGGATCTAATTAAACTTAAGAGTTTCTATACAGGAAAAGAAACAATCATTAGAGTGAACCAGCAACCAACAGAATGGGAAAAAAAATCTTTGCAATCTACCCATCTGACAAAGGCCTAATATCCAGAATCTACAAAGAACTAAAGAAGATTTACAAGAAAAAAACAAACAAACTTATTCAAAGGTGGGTGAAGGATATGAACAGATACTTTTCAAAAGGAGACATTTATGAGGCCAGCAAACATAGGAAAAAATGTTCATCATCACTGGTCATCAGAGAAATGCAAATCTAAACCACATTGAGATACCGTCTCACGCCAGTCAGAATGGCGATCATTAAAAAAATCTGGAGACAACAGATGCTAAAGAAGATGTGGAGAAAAAGGAACACTTTTACACTGTTGGTGGGAGTGTAAACTAGCTCAACCATTGTGGAAGACAGTGTGGCAATACTGCAAGGATCTAAAAATAGAAATTCCATTCGACCCAGCAATCCCATTACTGGGTATATACCCAAAGGACAATAAATCGTTCTACAATAAAGACACATGCACATGAATGTTCAATGCGGCACTGTTTACAAGAGCAAAGATGTGGAACCAACTCAAATGCCCATCAATAATAGACTGAACAAAGAAAATGTGGCACATATACACCATGGAATACTATGGAGCCATAAAAAATGATGAGTTCGTGTCCTTCGTAGGGACATGGATGAATCTGGAAACCATCATTCTCAGCAAACTGACACAAGAACAGAAAACCAAACAACACATGTTCTCACTCATAGGTGAGTGTTGAACAATGAGAACACACGAACACAGGGAGAGAAACATCACACTCTGGGGACTGTTGGGGGAGGCTAAGGGAGGGACAGCAATGGGGAGAGAAGGCTGGGAGGGATAACATGGGGAGAAATGCCAATTGCAGGTGATGGGGGAATGGAGGAAGCAAACCACTGGCCAAGTATGTACCTATCCAACAATCCTGCATGATCAGCACATGTACCCAGAACCTAAAGTACAATAAAGAGAGACAGAGAGAGAGAGAAAATAAAAGAAAAAGAGAGCAATAATGTAGGAGGCACATCATTACTCAACTGGAAATTTCTACAGGGATGAGACAGGTAAGCTTCCTAGCTTCCTTCACCCCTTCCAGGTCCACTCACCTCCTTTACCACCGTGGCTCTCCTGCCCCTGCATATTAAGCAACCCCTGTCCTCTGTTCCTTGTCAGTATCTACCAATGTGTAGCCCTGGCAGGAAACTAGAAGGAGGAAGAATGAGGGTGGGCTCCCTCTCTGAGGTCATCTCAGGTTTGCTGTACAACAGCACACCTGTTGGAAGATGGCCAGTTTGACTAACTATCCCCCGTCCCTTGACAATTCAGGTCATTGTAAGTTGTTTCTTTAAAACAAAAGCCTTTTTGAATCCTCTTATATAGAGTATGAAAGTATAGTCTCTTCAATATAGACACAGAAAGTATAACCTCTTAAATTTTTGTTTTTCTCCATATCCAACATTTAGGTCAAATCTATTACCTCAGTCAAGAATGACTCATTCCTCAGACCTCAGATTGTAACTGCCATTAGATGGCAGCATATTGAATTACATTATAATCACTTTTTTTTTTTAAGTTGGAGAAACCACTTTTGGGCCTGAATTTATAAAAATAGAGGTGACAGCAAATTCCACAGAAAAAAAAAGAGAAAACTCCCCAAACTGAAGAGGAATATCAATAAATAACTATAGGTAGAAAGTAATTTATACTTCAAAATGAATACAAAACATCATTATGCAACATGCAACAGCATTTTGAAAATTATATACTATAAAGAAAGATTCTAATATATGCAATAGTCTTTTTAAATGCACCAAATATTTTATTTATGTCTTACCATCTCTTTCCTTTTTTACTTCTACTTTGGATGACTCTGTTTTAAAAGGGAATGCACATAGAAGTATGATTATTTATATACAGTGGTTTCCTAAGTTATTCAAAAAGACTCATATGAATAGGAACAAAATGTCTAGGTAGCTGTACCTGGCAAGATTACATTGCACAGTACTGAGAATAACTTTTGGTCAAGTCATCAGGACATGTCCTATGCATATGACAACACATCCAAGCAGACCTAGAAACTCTGCCCCTTGAGTGGCTGCTTCAAACTCACAGGTGGGACAATTTTGTGTTGGTTAAGCAATAATACTGGCAGTAGAGTATTATGTTTTCGACACTTCAAAATCTACCAAAATCTCAGCAAATGGAAATTCAATCAGAGGGTGCATGAGAAACTTTTAATTTACCAAAGTCTTCTCCACACTAAAATAGGCTTAAAGTAATACATCTTTAAATAACTTTATTGCATTTAAATGTGATTGAACTGTGCCCTATTTTAACCAGGTTCATTATGTATTGAATATTTTGAGTAACAGAAGAATCTAAATATCAAAACATTTTAATCATACTAATAGAGTACAGAATTTATGAATATTCAATAGGGTTAAAGCACAACATTTTGTTTGATGTCTGTAAAAATTTAACATAGCTTATTAAGATAGATTGCTTCATTAAATATAAAATCACCACTTCTTTAGGACTACAGGCATACACCACCAAGCATGGCTAATTTTTTTTTTTTTTATAGGGGTCTCGTTATGCTGCTCAGTCTGGTCTTGAACTCCTAGTCTCAGGTGATCCTCCAGCCTTAGCCTCTCAAAGTGTGGGCATGAAAGTAGTGACCCATTACACCTGCCCCTGACAATGTATTCATATTTTCCTTTCCAGCTATAGAGGGCCACCAATTTCATTTTCAGGTTTGTTTTTATACTAGCTAAGTTTATTTCAATGACTATAAAATATGCATGCATGTTTAATCACCACAAAAATAGCTTTTAAAGTTTAAATGAGGTTAATCTTAAAGGGGCTATTAATTCTAAACATTATTATTATCAAGAAATTTTTGTTCTTAAACGTAATTTAAATATATGTAATATGAAAAAACTATTCCTTGTTTGAGGATCCTGGAATAAAGAATGATTGTTCTACTGGGACCTGACTGTAATATCTATTGCTGTTCTCTGAATTTCTGTAGTATGTCAGTGTATATTAATTTTGCCAGTGCTTATCAAATGATATCTTGCCTTTCCCCATCCATGCATTAATTTTATTAATTATTTTCTGAGCAACCACTAAGCCAAGTTTTCATCTAGACACAGGATACAATGACAAATAAAGTAGACCAAATCTTTGCCCTCTGATAGAGCTTATATTCAAATGAAGGAAATGCAGCGAGCAAATATAAAACTATATAAGCTGGCTATAAATGATACCTAGAAAACTAAAAGGAGCCCTGCTTAGATAAATGAAAAAAACCCTCAACTTTGTTCTAGTTACTCCAATTTTAATCTGCTCTAAAATCAACATGCATTCCTACTGTTCAATTAGGGCAAATAAAATAACAACATTTTAGGTTTAAAAACTTCATGTTACCTTGGCTGAATGTAACAAAGTGCCTCTGTTTGACCCTAAAATTAGCATTGCACAGTTGACATATAATAGAAACTCTGTTGTGCAGGGCAGCATTATGAAAAATAGTATAACCTGCTTCATCTGCAACATTGATTGTCGAGCTTGAGGTTTTACAGCTAAATGTATGGAAAACTGCAGACAATCATCTTTCAACAGCAGACTTCATACCAAATGGAATACTCTAAAATTAAGAAGGCCAGACTCAGTTTATCAAAACATACCTAAAGTTTGGTTTAAGGAAAAAAGGACATGAAATATATTAACGGAATCACATGAATGCTGCTAAAATTAAGCAGACTTTTCACAAGATCTACGTGGAAAGTTTCTTACTGGATAATGATTAAAGTTGTTAGAGTTATAAGCAACTATTAAGAACTTAAAAAATATTTTGGGGAATTTTTCTTATTATTTTTATTTTTTCTAAAATATTTTAAAAACAAATGGAGATCATTGTGCTCCTTGTCTGACTGTAGAAAAACCTAATTTAGAAGTGTAGAAACTTGAAATATATAGCTATAGAAATACAGCTGTCATCAAAAGATAAAAATATCACCCTCTTCTTTTAGATATTCTGACTAATATTTAAAAATTCAACTAACAAATTTTTAAGGTTTTAATTTGTGGACATGAAAGCAAATAAATGGAAAGTAAATACCTGTCTAACCTTTGAAGCTGATGAGCTTCATTGCTCAGTTCTAGAAGCTGTACATCAAGGGTTGTTGAAACAGACATGGAGATTTGATTCAGGATGCTAGATTTTCTCCTTAGACTTTAGTTCCTAGGATTGAGGCCTGGCTCTGCCATTTACTATATGATTTGTGAAAGATCCCTCTCTATACCTCAAATTTCTCATTTGTATAACAGAAATGACAATAATAAAACTAGTCATACTTTAAAAGAGTTCATTGATTTATAATATTGCCTAATATACAGAATAAGCAATAAGTATGAGCCACTATTGAGATTAATCACAGTCCAGTACATTAACAGGTATTCTGCCAGAAATTTATGATCCAGAATTATATAGCTTTTCAGCTACTAAAATGTGGCATTTTGGCCAGGCACAATGGCTCATGCCTGTAATCCCCAGCACTTTGGGAGCCTGAGGTGGGTGGATTGCCTGAGTTCAGGAGTTCATGACCAGCCTGGGCAACATGGTGAAACCCCATCTCTACTAAAATTAAAAAAAAAAAAATTAGCCAGGCATGGCAGTGTGTGCCTGTAGTCCCAGCTACTCAGGAGGCTGAGGAAGGAGAATTGTTTGAAACTAGGAGGTAGAGGTTGCAGTGAGCCAAGATCATGCCACTGCACTCCAGCCTGGGGTGACAGAGCTAGACTCCATCTCAAAAAAAAAAAAAAAAAAAAAAAAAAAGGTGACATTTTCTTTCATATTTAAGACTTTAATGTATTATTTACCCCTATAATAAACATTCATTTGAGACATATACTTATCAATAATACATAACTTCATATACTTTATGATGTGGTAGTCACTGAAATACCTTGCATTTCATAGCTTTTTTGAAACCAAATTTTTTCTTAAATTGTTCATGTAATTGAGCATCTGTTAGTGAAGTCTTTTCAGTTTCAGATTGTTCACTATTTCATTTATGGCTTGCCACCACTGTGTCTTATATATTTGCTGATAGAAAGTTTCAAGTTCAAAATAGATCACATAGTACCTATAAAAAATAAAGAAAAAAAGATATTTCTCTACCTTTGAAGTAATTTGCTACTTTTTTCTCTGTGCTGGCAAAACTTCATTTATTCTGTAACCATTAAATACAAAATGGTAGTTTAAATTGTACTCAATTGTAAATGTATTAATAACATTAATGGTTATTAACAGTTATTAATCAAGTCTTTATATAAAAATGCCTTCTTCATATTGTATTGACTCTGTCCTTTTCATGTCAGTGATCTGGGACAATGTCTGAAATTTCCTCAAAGGCCTAACTCTGGGTGAAGTTCTAGGTCATCTAACTGTCTGCTTACCCACCTCTTATTCTTTTAAGCTAATTACATCTATATTTGGTTTCTCAAGAGTTTACCTTGAATGTGATCTGGAATGATGCTTTGGGTAATGGCTTCTTGTCTTTTACTCACCGCAGCAGTGAACTAGAGAAACCCCCCTCCTACCACGTCCCTGGCACAGAGTTAGGGCTTGAAACAGCCCTGATCCCTATCACTCTGGAATGGAAAATTGATAAAATTTTGAGTTATTCTCTTCCCTACGTTTTCTTATCATCACAGGTGAAGGAAAATGGCAACCTTCCTCCCCTGCCCGCCGTGAGGTACCTACCTTTCCCCAGTCTGGATTTCAGAAGTGAATACTTCAGCTGCTGAACTACCTCTGACAGTGGGAAGGCTCTTAATATTGCCAGGGTTTCTCTTCCAAATGCAACTATTTATTGCTGTAAATACAGTATTCTTTTTTTCTTGAGACAGGGTCTTACTCTGTTGCCAAGGCTGGAGTGCAGTGGTGCAATTACAGCTCACTGCAGCCTCCACCTTTCAGGCTCAAGTGATCCTCCCACCTCAGCTTCCTGAGTAGCTGTGACTACAGGTGTGTGCCACCATGCCTGGGTAACTTTTAAATTTTTTGTAGAGATAGGGTCTTAAAGACAGGCATGGTAGGTCATGCCTGTAATCCAGCACTTTGGGAGGCCAAGGTGAGCAGATTACTTGAGGTCAGGAGTTTGAGACCAGCCTAGCCAACATGGCAAAACCTCTTCTCTACTAAAAATACAAAAATTAGCCAGGCATTGTGGTGCATGCTTGTAATCCCAGCTACTCAGGAGGCTGAGGCAGGAGAATCACTTGAACCCAGGAGGTGGAGGTTGCAGTGAGCTAAGATTGTGCCACTGCACTCTAGCCTGGGTGACAGAGCAAGATTCTGTCAAAACAAACAAACAAATAAATAAACAAAGATAGGGTCTTCACTATGTTGCCCAGTCTGGTCTCAAACTCCTAGGCTCCCTCAGCCTACCCAAGCAATCCTCCCACCTCAGCCTCCTGAAGTGCTGGGATTACCAGCATAAGCTACTGCACCTGGCCCAAATACAGTATTCTTGACAGTGGTAACCCGTCCTATGGCTCTTTACTGCTGCTCAGGGATGATCAGGTTTCCTAAGAGAGCTAAAAATTTGTTCCATTACATTAATATCTTGAGAAGGAAGTTAGTGATTATGCTAAGAAAACTGTGCCCAGTAGCTAAGGAAGAATCACTGGGTCTCATGAGTCAGTTACAGGATGGTCACAGGGAAACACTGTTATAAATTAGTCAGAGACTAATAGTCTTCCTTGATCTGTACTTCAGTTCCAATTTTCTGAATATAAGGGACCTCAGTGCATGGATGGAGGTATGTCTGAGGTCCTCTTCACATTTATCTGAGGGTGTTATTCTTCCCATACATCATCCTCTTCCTTTAAAAGGAAACTAGACCACAAGAATATAAACTAAAGGCTGTCTCGACCCACAGCTTACCGGTTCACTTGTTCATAGGTCCCAGCTTGTAGAGGTGCCATGGTCATCAGTGGGGACTTGCTAGCTTATTAGACTCTAGCCTCCAAAATCAAGGAACAGGTGTTCTGTATCTTACTTAGATTTGAAAGTTTTGAACAGTCTTTGACTCACAGTGGTGATAGGCTCTAGGACCTTAAGGAGCTGTTTGGATCAGACCTAGATGCTTGATTGGCACTACATGACTAAACTAAATTTTTAGAAGAAAACAGCTCCTGGGGCTTATTGGGCTTTATGTAACCAGGCAGGAAAGGAGGAAACTGAAGATATTCCATGGTAGCTGAGAATGCTGATCTGCTGACATATGAGATTCAAAAAAAAAAAAAAAAAATTGTGTGTGGATTGGGTTGTAGAAGGAACTGAAAGTTCTCTAGTGATTGGTAGATGAGCCAAAAAATTCTGCTTATAACTCAACTTGTGGTTTTTACTTTTACTCCATGCTGTCTGGGTCTGGGATACAGGCTTATGTTAAATTTCAAAACCAGCAAATTGGTATGTATCAGCCTACCATTCACCAATGCTGATGACCAAATGCTGTGCATTAGTTCAAACTGGAAAAACAATTCCACTATGATATGACCAATCTCTAATAGTACAATGGTGTTGTGTTTACAGCAACCATACTCATTCACGCACTACAGCCTCTCACCAAGTACAGCTTCTGTCCCAGCTGCTTCCCTGAATTCGCAGGATCACTGGTGCCCCAGAAGCCTGATAGAACTTGAAGAATAAAGGTTTATTGAAAAGTGACTCAAAAAAACTATTTACTTTGGCAAGGATTGTATGTGGAGCATGTAAACAGGTGCTGGGACCCTGGGCAAGAGATTCTTCCTCCAGGGAGTACACATCACCTGTCCATTCCAGAGGCATGAGATCTGCTACTTGGTTCCCTTCAAAATCATGGAGGTCATTAGCTACATAGTCTTTGACTTCAGCTTCAATACGACATGTGTATCCTGAGAGTAATTCAGTAGAAAGATTCCCTCTTTCCTCCTTTATCCCATTACTCTCTCTGCCTTATTTCTCTTATTCTTCTCACTCACATGTATCTTGAAAGAAATTCAGTCTTTACTTTTTTATGACTTATAACTCTACTGTACGTAACACTTCAACTTGCTGAAAATAGCCTCCTTTAACCAAAACTCCACTAAAATTCTCTTAGCAAGTCATAGCTAAATTTAGAGGGCTCTCTCCAAGATTAAAGTGACTTGGCCCTTTTCTGTGTTGCATTTGATGCTTTTTACTATTTCTATATTCTGAAATTTGGCTTTCATACTCACTCTCTATTTATTATTATTTAAGAGATGGGGTCTTGCTATGGTGCCCAGGCCAGAGTGCAATAGCTATTCACAGCCATGATCACAGCACACTGCAGAGTTGAACTCTTTGCCTAAAGTGATCCTCCCACCTTAGCCTTATGCTATCATATGCTCTTGTTCCTCCTCTACCTGTATCATTCCCTCTCAGTCTCCTTTGTTCTCTCTCCTCTACTTCTCCCTACCCTCTTTAACAGTTACTATTCTCCAAAGTTTCAGACTTGGTCCTATCCTCTCAACTGCTTGCATGCCTTAAAAACAAACAAATGGGTCAGGTGCAATGGCTCATGCCTGTAATCTTAGCACTTTGGGAGGCCAAGGTGGGCAGATCACCTGAGATGAGGAGTTCGAAACTAGCCTAACCAATATGGTGAAACCATCTTTACTGAAAATACAAAATTAGCCAGGCATGGTGGTGCGTGCCTGTAATCTCAGCTACTCGGAAGGCTGAGGCAGGAGAATTGCTTGAACCCAGGAAGTGGAGGTTGTGGTGAGCCGAGATTGTGCCACTGTACTCCAGCCTGGGTGACAGAGTGAGACTCCATCTCAAAAAACAAACAAAAAAATGAACCAACAAGCAAAACTTCCTTATTTGTTTTTAAATCTTTGCCTCTAATTAAAATGTTTCTTCTGAGTTCTGCTTCCCATATTTCCAAATTCAGTGTCTGAGATTTAAAAATCTAAGAACACAAAACATAAAAGACAAAAAATGCTGGGATTTGATCCCCATCTCTATCCCTTTTTAACCACTATGTTAATTATAAGAACTAATTACAAGATCTTAAGGATTGTTACACGGACTGTATCAAATACATCAAGTAGTAACTATAACATTTAATACTTTATTGAGTCAATCTGTCATTCATGGTGGTTACTATTCTGGAATCACCACTGTAAACATTTAAATTAACCTTTGCATTTTGTTATTTTCTTTGTTCGCTACAAACTTTCAACAAATTGTAGCTAGTGTCAGTAATTAGTGAAAACTCCTTACCTTTTTCCATAAAATTCCATGACTGGTATTGAGTAATATTCTTTGGATCCTGAATCTTCTATAAATGTATTAGCAGCACAATCTCGTATCTTTTCTAAATTTTTCTAAAATATGAGTTAGGTTACTAAAGACATATCTTTAAACACATCTAAACAATTATAAGAATTATTTGTATGAAATAGTATATATGTAAATGACAAATTTTAAATTTACTATTCCAGAAGACCCTGATAGCAGCTGAATGTATCTAATCCTTACTTTGAGAATTAGGAAAAAAATACAAAAGGGAAGACATATAGTATACAGAGGGTGGAAAACCAGTAACAATTGAAAAGTAGAATGTTTACACTAAATTCCAGGTAAAGAATTACTGTTCTAGAACTTTAGAGGATCTCTGTTCTAATCCTAATTCTTTGAGAAAAAATGGAAGAATGAGTGTCTAGAGATTTCTACCGCACTCTTCGGTTACCTATTCTAGGGCAAATATGGTCCATTAGAAGTCTGTAAATTCTGTGAGGATGATACCTGTACCTAGCTTATTTATAATTTTATCTCAAATATCCAACACAGTACATTACATATAACTGTACTTAATTTATTTATGTTAAAATAATACATGAATGAGTGAGTGAGTTGTAAGAATAGTCATTTGGAGAGCTGTTTAGTGCCTCTATCAACAGAGGCTCTTTTTGGTTGGAGAATAGGATAAAAGAGTTGTGAAATGACAAACTGTCTAAGGAATGATCATTTAAACCTGAAAATATTCCAAAGCATTTTCAATTGAAGGGGTGCTGCTATCAAATTCAATTCCTCTGTGAACATGAAAATATTGATTCTCTTTGTAGTGAAAATTCTGGAATTTAAAATCTCTTCCATAAATAAATGGAGGCAATTCTCGCTCTGTCTTGACCTTGTCATCTGCAGAAATGAAAACAAACTTTTATTTAAAACATGAACAGCACATAAACAATCATATTTTAAGAGATCTAATTTCTCATTCGTGTAAACGAAGAAAATTCCAGATGAAATAAAAATCTTAGTAATTATAGTCCATAAAATTATTTATGCTGTTAATGTATATAAATATTTTAACATTAGAATATATTTTTGGCTATGCACAGTGGATCATGTCTGTAATCCCAGCATTTTGAGAGGCGAAGGGGGTCAGATCACTTGAGCCCAGGAGTTCAAGACCAGTCTGGGCAACATGGTGAAACCCTGTCTCTACTAAAAGTACAAAAACCAGCTGAGTGTGATGGTGCATGCCTGTAATCCCAGCTACTTGGGGGGCTGAGGAGGGAGGACTGCTTGAGCCCAGGAGGTCAAAACTGCAGTAAGCTGAGATCATGCCACTGCACTCCAGCCAGGTGACAGAGTGACACCCTGTCTTATACACACACACACACACACACACACACACACACACACACTAAATATTGACATTTTGAGCATTTTCTGTAGTTTTATTATACAGACATTTCAAAAGTATGCTCAAAACATTGTTCTAATTATTAATTTCTTGTAAGTGAGCTCAAGATTAATATCTTACTCTAATTATAAGAAAGGACTAGAAACTCTATGCCTAAGAGAATCTTTGGTTAAATAAACAAAAGCTTATCTCGTGTAAAAGGAGACATTGTAAAGAAATAGATGGGTATATCTCACATACAAAAATAACCAGCCCATATTTCTAAAAAGTAATAAAACTACACAGAAAACTTATTTTTAAAAATAATTTTCTCTGCCGGGCACGGTGGCTCACACCTGTACTCCCAGCACTTTGGGAGGCTGAGGTGGGCGGATCACCTGAGGTAAGGAGTTTGGACCAGCCTGGCCAACATAGCAAAATCCTGTCTATACTAAAAATTGAAAAATTAGCTGGGTATGGTGGTGGATGCCTGTAATCCCAGCTACTCAGTAGGCTGAGACAGAAGAATCGCTTGAACCCAGGAAGCAGAGGTTGAAGTGAGCTGAGATCATGCCACTGCATTCCAGCCTGCGTGACAGAGCAAGACTCCGTCTCAAAACAAAAACAAAAACAAAAACAAAAAACCTCAAATTCCAGCAAAGATTAGATTAGGTTTTTCAATATTTTGACTGGTTGGTAGAATACGGTTTCATCAACATAAGGTACATAATGTATTTTGGGAAATAAAAACGGTAAAGTAAAGTACAAAAAGTAATATACACTATACATCCTGATCTCAACACTGAGAATTAACTATTTAACATTAGTCATATTTGCTTCCCATAGTTTAAGTAATAAGATATTGTAGATATAGCTAACATTCTCTTTAAGCAAGTCCCTCCCACTTCTATACATGCTCCCCATCACCCAAGAGTCATGATTCCATTTCTAATAGTTCACAGATAATTTATATCTTCAGCACCTGAATTCTCATGGCACCAACTTTTACTAAATAATTTGCAAAATTTCTGCTGAAAATGTGCCATCTGAAAAAAAGCCCATTATAATAAACCTACATGCTTGGACAGCAATGAAAGTGTATAAATTGTATGCTAATCTGGATAGGATGAAGAGCTTATACTGAAGTCCCAACAAATTGCATTAATTATGGCCCTGTTTCAGCTCTCTATTCTATTACATTGCTCTGTTTGTTTATTACAGTGCCAATACTATCTTCATTTAATTACTGTAGTTTTAACATGTTTTATTTCAATGTAATTCTACATTCATTACTGTAGTTTTATTATAGAGCAGCAAAGGGTCATTAATTTCTGAAAGACCATTAATGACCTTTTGCTGCTCTATATTAATTTTAGAGTAAGTGTGTAAACTTCAGTGAAAAATATGATCAGGATTTTGAATAGAAGTACATTGAATTTATAGAGTAATTTGAATGAGATGATATATTCGCAGTGTTGTCCCATCATGAACATGGCATATTTCCCTATTCATACGAACTTATTTTAGCTTATTTTGAATCTTTCAATAGCCTTTGTAATTAGTATAAATATATACAAAGTACTATGTACAGATACTGAGTGTTTTAAATTACATTAGAGACATCAAATTTTGTTTTCTTTAACAGGTTATAGCTAGGTTACTGCCTGTACCCATATACCAGAAACAAAATTGTATTTAAACATATATTTAATATATACCTATATTTTATACTTCATTTCTGGTGATACTCTTACCTGAAAAATGCTGAAGCAGACTATTTAAATATGGAACTTTCATTTTCTTCTTTAAACTCATAGAAATGGAATCAGAAAACATATTAACTTTAGGTATCCTATCCCTCTTCTGATATCTTCTTTCTTCTCAAAGTGTTTTTGAATAATCTTTTTTTGAAGATATAATCTTTGCTGTAGTCTCTGGTAGGTACAAATATCAAGATAATCTTGATTATATCTTATAGCATTAGTAAGCCAATAGTCTGTTTTAAATATAAAGACATGTTCATACTGTTGAACTTGTGTAGTACTGAATGTTAACTTTAGCATAATATTTTCAGCATATTTCATAAATACAGCTGTTTCTTCAGGGCTACTGGGATCATATGTTGGATCTTCATTCGTGTCTTCATCATAGATTCCATTAAAGTCTGGATCCTTTGTAATATCAGTCAAACCTTTACAATAAAAAACAAAAATTTCAGACAGTGAAAATTTCATATTTGGCTTCTGGATAAATATGGAAGACTGAACACAAGATTTTATTGTGAAATTTTACTAACATGACAGTAAAGGAAAAATTAGATGCTGTAACCCAAATACAAAATTCTAAGCACTACCTACAACCTACTGAACAAACCTGTTTGGCCAAAGGGACCCAAGAGAAACCTTAAAAATTGAGTTCTTGGCCATGATGGGATGGGAGGTCAGACATGCCTCATTATACTCCTTTCCTTTTGTGGTTTAGACACAACCAACTGACCAGCATTAATGTCAAAATACAGATCATAAGACTGACAGAATGAACTATTTGTAACAATAATATACCAAATTATAAACAAAACCTAGGGCCATGCCAGGCAAGGATGAAGTCACAAACCCCTCTACTTAAAGAGTAAACTAGGTTCTAACTTCCACAAGGTTTTTCTTTTTTCTCTCACAGTTAAACAAGCACTGTCCTCAAGAAAAGCAATTTTAAAAGAATTATAGCTCGTTAACCAACAGATGCTGAATAATTGACCTCCCTGTCTCCCAAGCCATAACTAGAGCTTTGATTGGAGAAGAAACTGATTTTAATAACTTTCTCCTCATAAGACCACTGATCATAATGTGGTTCTGGCCTGTTTACAGAGGCTATAAACAGTGAATGCCTTCAAGTCCCTGCTTCACCTTCTGACATATAGTAAGGGCCTAATTGTAATGCATTTAAATGTTAAGTCTCCACCCCAAAGCAAACATGAATATGTAATAATATGCATGTTAGAACCCACTTCATGAATGTTCATACCTCTTCCTATAATTTGTTGCATATGTATACTTGGCCAAACAGTTCAGCTTAAATTCCTGTCTTGCTCCTCCCTTCCTTGAAGTGCCTGTCAGAATAGCCAGTTTGAAAACTGTAATCCTTTAGAAGAAATATACAGATTCATTGCAATCGATATCAAAATAGCAGTCACTATTCTTTACAGAAATAGAAAAATAATCTTAAAATCTATATGAAACCACAAAAGATCCAGAATAGCCAGTCATCCTGAGCAAAGAGAACAAAACTGGAGGAATTATATTACCTGACTTCAAATTATACTGCAAAGTGAAAATCACCAAAACTGCATGCTACTGGCATAAAAACAGACACACAGACCAAAGGAACAGGATAGAGAACTTATAAACAAATCCATACTTATACAGTGAACTCATTTTCAACAATAGTGCCAAGAACATTCACTAGGGAAAGGACAGTCTCCTCAATAAATGGCACTGGGAAAACTGGATATCCATATATGAAGAATAAAACTAGCCCCTGTCTCTCACCATATTCAAACATCAAATAAAAATGGATTAAATACTTAAATCTAAGACCTCAAACTATGAAAATACTAAAAAAAAAAATTAGAGAAACTTTCCAGGATATCAGCCTGGACAAAGATTTCTTGAGTAATATCTCACAAGCATAGTTTGCAACCAAAGCAAAAATGGACAAATGGGATCACATCAACTTAAAAATCTTCTATATAACAAATGAAACAATCAACAGACTGAAGAGACAACCCACAGAATGGGATAAAATATTTGAAAACTGTCTATCCAACTAGGGCTTAATAACCAGACTATATAAGGAGCTCAAACAATTCTATAAGAAAAAAAAATCTAATCTGATTAAAAAATGGGCAAAAGATCGGAATAGACATTTCTCAAAAGGAGACATACAAATAGCAAACAGGCATATGAAAAAGTGTTCAACATGTCCAATCATCAGAACTATAATAAGAGATCATCTCAATCCAATTAAAATGGCCTTTATCCAAAAGACAGGCAAAAACGAATGCTGGTTAGGACGTGGAGAAAAGGGAACCCTAGTACACTGTTATAGGAATGTAAACTAGTGCAGTCACTATATAGAACAGTTTGGCGGTTTCTCAAAAAAAATGAAAAATATACCTACCATATGATACAGCAATTCCACTGCTGGTTATAAATCCAAATGAGGGGAGGACTCAAGATGGCGCTGTGAGAACAACCCAGGATTGGAGTTCTCGTTGTGTCTGCGGAGAGGTGAGTCTGAGCTGCATTTCCAGACTGATCTTTGTTGCTCGGAACGGGAAAATTCCCAAGTGAAGAGGAGACGCGGGACGCCAGGCAGATATTCCGCCTGGCAAAGCCGGCAGCCGGGGTGGCGGCGGCCGGCCCTACCCAGCGCTCCCCACAGGGCGCACTTGTCCGGGTGCCCCGTTGAACCGGCAACTGGAGACGTGAGAGGGCTGGACTTGAGACTGAGCTAGACTTGAACAGTGGGCCAGCCCAGGGGATTGCAGGAACAGAGCATTAGGATTGGCCCAGTGGGATGAACAAAACCGCGATTTCAAACAAGCCCCGTGCAGACGGCGCGAGACGCTCTGAGGGGGAGGGGCAGCCACCATTACCGAGGTAACCCGCCCCAACTGAGATACACGCCCATTGCTGACGCAGCCAGCCGTTGCCGAGGCAACCCGTCCCTACTGAGATACACGCCCACTGCTGACGCAGCCTGCCGTCGCCGAGGCAACCCGCTACAACAGAGAGACTCCGCCGCAGGGCGTGGCGGAGAACAGCAGAACAGCGGAGCCAGGGCGAGCCTCACAACAGCAGGGCGGAGCCTCGGCAGGCAAACAGTGGCTAGTCTGCATCCTAGCTGGGCAGGACCTCAACGGACATCCAAAAATAAAGCCCAAACCCCTCAACACAGAGCATTTGAGAAAAAAAAGTGTTTTTTTTAATGAGCTCTGTTGCAGCAGAATCAAACATAGCAGCCTAACAGCCCTGAATGAACAACACAGCTCACAGCTCAGCAATTAAACCCCTATAAAGTACAAACTGTCTCCTCAAGCAGCTCCCCGACCCCTCTATATCCAAAAGATTGACATTAGGCAGGCACCATCCTGGGACAAAGATAGCAGAAAAAGAAACTGGTAGCATCCCTCGCTATGCCACAGCTGCTAGAGGTGCACCCCAGACAAGCAGGGTCTGGAGCGGACCTCGGCACTCGTACAGCGAAGGGGCTAGACTGGTAGAAGGAAAACCAAGCAACAGAAATACTTCATCATCAACATTCAGGGTGTCCACTCAGAGACCCAATCGAAAAGTCAGCAACTACGCAGACGACCAGCGGACAAATCCACAAAGATGGGAAGAAACCAGCGCAAAAAGGAGGAAAACACCCGAAACCAGAACACCTCGCCTCCTAGAAAGGACCAAAACTCCTCACCAGCAAGGGAACAAAGCTGGACGGAGAATGACTATGACGAAATGACGGAATTAGACTTCAGAAGATGGATAATGAGAAACTTTGGTGAGCTAAAAGATCATGTATTAAATCAATGCAAAGAAACTAAGAACCTTGAGAAAAGATTTGAAAAAAGATTTGAGGAAATGATAACAAGAATGGATAACTTAGAGAGGAATATGAATGAATTAAAGGAGCTGAGAAACACAATACGAGAACTTCGCGAAGCATACACAAGTTTCAATAGCCGAATTGACCAAGCAGAAGAAAGAATATCTGAAGTCGAAGACCAACTCAATGAAATAAAACGAGAAACCAAGATTAGAGAAAAAAACGCAAAAAGGAATGAACAAAGTCTCCAAGAAATGTGGGACTATGTGAAAAGACCTAACCTACGTTTGATAGGTGTACCAGAAGGGGACGAAGAGAATGAATCCAAGCTGGAAAATACTCTTCAGGACATCATCCAGGAAAATTTCCCCCACCTAGCAAGACAGGCCAACACTCAATTGCAGGAAATTCAGAGAACACCACAAAGATATTCTGCAAGAAGAGCAACCCCAAGGCACATAATCGTCAGATTCAATAGGGTTGAAATAAAGGAGAGAATACTAAGGGCAGCCAGAGAGAAAGGTCGGGTCACCCACAAAGGGAAGCCCATCAGACTCACAGCAGATCTCTCGGCAGAAACACTACAAGCCAGAAGAGAGTGGGGGCCAATATTCAACATTCTTAAAGAAAAGAACTTTCAACCCAGAATTTCATATCCAGCCAAACTGAGCTTCAGAAGTGAAGGAAAAATAAAATCCTTTGCGAACAAGCAAGTACTCAGAGATTTTGTCACCACCAGGCCTGCTTTACAAGAGCTCCTAAAAGAGGCACTACACATAGAAACGATCAACCAGTACCAGCCATTCCAAAATCACACTGAATGCTAAAGAGCTTCAACATAATGAAGAATCTACAACAACTAACAGGCAAAACAGCCACTTAGCATCAACATGGCAGTATCAAATTCACACATAACAATATTAACCCTAAATGTAAATGGACTAAATGCACCAATCAAAAGACACAGACTGGCAAATTGGATAAAAAGCCAAAACCCATCAGTGTGCTGTATCCAGGAAACCCATCTCACATGCAAGGATACACAAAGGCTCAAAATAAAGGGATGGAGGAAGATTTACCAAGCAAATGGAAAGCAAAAAAAAGCAGGAGTTGCAATTCTCATCTCCGATAAAATAGACTTTAAAGCAACAAAGATCAAAAGAGACAAAGAAGGCCATTACATAATGGTAAAAGGATCGATACAACAAGAAGAGCTAACGATCCTAAACATATATGGACCCAATGCAGAAGCACCCATATACATAAGGCAAGTTCTTAAGGACTTACAAAAGGACTTAGACTCCCACACAATAATAGTGGGAGACTTTAACACTCCACTGTCAATACTAGACAGATCTACCAGACAAAAAATCAACAAGGATATCCAGGGCTTGAACTCAGACCTGGAGCAAGCAAACCTGATAGACATTTACAGAACTGTCCACCCCAAATCCACAGAATACACATTCTTCTCAGCACCACATCACACCTACTCTAAAATTGACCACATAATTGGAAGTAAAGCACTGCTCAACAAATGCAAAACAACTGAAATCATAACAAACCGCCTCTCAGACCATAGTGCAA